CCATCACTTCTTGCCGTTGAATCAGCCAAGGTCTAACTGCATCAAAGGTCTAATTGCAGTAAAAGTGAGGTCGAGTAACTTGACGCTGCTCTCTCACGTGCTTCACATCCAAGTGTACACCTTGGAGTCAAAGGTAGGCCTTTGGCTCAATAGGTTTCATGCTTGCAGGGGGCACGGAGACCGATTTCCCATCCGTGCCAACGAAGCTACGGAAATCAGTTGGAAGAGAGTTGGGACGCCAACTCTTGTACCTGCACTTTGAATGGTTTGGTTGTGATGTTGTGTAACGACGCTGTCAAAAGCTGGAATCTTCTGAAAGCTTTGGAAGCCCTGGATCTCTTTGAGCTGTTGAGACTTGCACGCCATGGTCAGACCGCTTTACATGCGTTCACCCCTGTTTCCTTCGATTTCTTTACTCAGGCTAGTTCGTGTGCATCTTTTCCCGGGCGTTTTTTTGTGCCAGGTTGTTCTGGATGGCTGCCTAGCTGTTGCAACTCAAACTTCTCTTTGGTGTTTGCAGCAGTTGCGCCTCTTTTTCGCGGCAACATGTAAGATGATATTTGTACATTGTTCCAATGATCTTCGCTGCAGGTTGTGGTGGGGTGGTGGGGTTTGCTTGCTCTTGGGCCGATCGCCTGTTTTGGATCAACTTGCCCCAACTCTGGACAGTCTTGATCCCTTTTGTGACCCCTTTTGTCGTTGAGTCGCAGGTGACTGGCCAGGATCTATGCAACAATCCGGACTTCGTGTGCAACACTGCAGAGAATCGCTTTGTAACAGCCATCGGGTATTGGATGAAGAACTGCCAAGAATGGGACGCCTCTCACACCTTCGACGCAGCTTTGGCAGCAATTCGGCCGGCCAACACACAAGCCAATCCAGAGCGCAGAGCGTCGTTCTATGAGTGGTTGAAAGCATTGGGCATTTCGCCGGTGACAACTACACCAAAGCCGCCCATGCCCGATGAGGGCGAGACACAGGTCAAGGCAGGCGAGGGGTGCTGGCAAATTGCGGATCGTTGTTGCGATGGGCAGGCCGGACTTGACAAAGAACACCGTTCAAGCCACAACAGCTTGCAATAAAGAAACTGCAACTTCCAAAAGTGTTCCATTGCAATAAAGACACTCATAGAAACATGTTCCACGGACCCCCCAAAGTGTCCAATCTATGAGCCTTCCTCCCAAAGTGCCCGGTTTCCTGCAGGGCGCTGACTATGCGACAGTCATTTGTGATCCACCAGCGTGCAGTCCTGGCCCTTCCGCGGGCACGACCATCAAGTACAATTGCAAAGGATGCAATTGATCGCATTTTAGTCTCCTTCACCATATGTCCTTCTTTCACACAGATACCGTACATGGGAACTGTGAGGGTTGGAAGTGGCGAATGGAATTTTGTGTGTTGACTGCCATCATCACGATTGGCGACATTCGCAACAGCATCCCAAAAGAGGATGAGGCGAAAATGATGAAGAACACTACTGGCGGGGAGCGCACTTTGTGCTTTTGGACAGTATATATATATATATACATGCAATTGAAATGAAATTGATATTTCAGCTGGTGCAATTGTCACACATGTCTGGCCTAGCAGGAAGTTCTTGCGGTTGTTGGGTGCGATGTGCTGATGTGATTCGTCGCTTAGGGATGTCGCGACAACCGCTGCGATGTAAGACTGTCCACGGTCACATTTTGACTGGGCTCATCGACTTGGGCCACAGTTGCCTCTCTGGCTTTTTTTGGGACTTTGATGCCCAGGATCGGGGAACCTCTGGACTGATCTTGTGTGCCAAGACCTACTTGGGTGCCAGCCTTAACTTACGCGCCGCCAGCTTTCGTCTGGCTGGTGCGAAGCCTTCGCCATAGCGGGCCCAGCCACCTGAATCATCATCCCCAGCCACCTGAGTCACATCGAGTGGTGTCGCTTCACGTCCAAGAAGTCGCAATTTGCCCAAGAAGTTGATGAGGTTTCTACTTGTCTCAGCTGGAATTTGAGGCAGGAATGTCCTGTCCGGAGAGCAGCCTGACTTCCACCCCTGTCCGCACGTGGCAGATCGTGGCAGGCTAGGCGGCTCCGGAAGACTTATCTCTGCATTTGTGAAGGGCACGCCCCAACGTCCTCAACCCAGGGAACCTGCGGACAGGACTGAATCTTATGGATCGAGAAAGAGAGAAAGAGAGAGGGGAGAGGCGAAAGATGCTGATCCTGAGTCCTTCTTACACTTGTTTGGACCAAAAGGAAACTAAACATGATGCAACAACAAATTAAATCAGCAGGTCTTTCTGCACAATCGATTCCGCTTCAATGACTCGACTTCTTGATGAACATGTTCGCCTCGTGAAGGCAAGGCCACCATTTCGGCTAAGGCCGCCATTTCTGTTGGAAGCGCCACTGGCCACGCGTGGTGCGCCGAATCCCAGAAGTCTGCCTCGTCGAGCTTGTTGGTTTTCTTCGATGCATACAGGGCAGTTTTACATACGTGGTTTTAAGGTGTATGCATACAGACAGACTCACTGCGTTTGAGCTAAAGAGAAACCATGAAACTGCGGCGGTCGAAGGGGTCGATGTCAGACTGTTATGTTTCGTAGTCTTGAATCAAAGACTCTTAAAGGAAAGGGAACCTAATAGTGATGGCCTCCACCCTAGGAGCGATGGCCTCCACCCTAGTAGCGATGGCCTCCAATCTAATAGCGATGGCCTCCAAGAGTAGCTAGGAACTTGTGATCTTCAGCTGGGAGGTCGAAGGGGAAGGTCAAAGGGGATATGCTTGGCATTTGGGAGGTGCAGAGGTGTTTGGGAGCCTATGGCTAATCTCATGAAGCGGGCGGTAGAGAGAGGGAGAGAGAGGTACTTGGGAATTCTGTTGCTTTTTCAGATTTGGAGATGCAAAATTCTTGCTGAGTGCCTTCAGGAGGCAGGGCCTTTGTGTCCACCAGAGGCAAGCATGCACAGACAGAGGCAGCTGCTCAACTTCTTTGAACGATTTGAGCTCTGAAATTGGCAATTAGGAACAAGAAGCTATTAGGAACAAGTGCATCGCTACTAGTAACAAGTGCATCGCTTCTAGTAACAAGTGCCTTACTAGAGAAAGAGCCGGACATTGATGTTGTGCAAGATTCTGCCAGCACTTGCTACTGGTGAATGCCAATTTTCTGGCGGGAAGGTTCATCGTCACATTCCACAGACGTGCTTGACACCAGACGCAGACGCCTGTAGAGGTGTTGAGCCGCTGCCAGGTAGTTGAAGTGTCACACCTTCTGGATGAAGTTGGACAGCCTTGCAGTCTGCTGGAGGTGCGTCTCCATACCGGAAGGCCAGCGACCCGCACGGGAAGCAGGCAAGGGGTGGCTGTGCGACCCTAAATCGGGCCAACCGGTGTGGAACATCAGTTCTGCTCAGTAGACGCTTTTTGCAGATGCAAAGGTCGGGGTTTGCTTCAGATATTGATGTATGGTCTTGACACGAGACCATGCTTGAGGCTGCACCAAATCCGAGCCCATTTGAGCTCCATTGGGCATGCCATCCGTGGTGACGCAAGCTACGGCCTGGATCTTGAAAAACAGCAACTCCGAATCCGAGAAAGCGCAAGACGAGCATCAATGAGCATCAATGAGCCCCAGGCTGACACAAGGTGGCCATGCTCTACCCCAACGATCCCCGTTGCGGACTTAGGTGGAACGAAAGGCCCCAGAGTGCTACTCCATGCGAGCAGGCGGAAATTCGGGGCCCGGAGGCGAGGGGCATGTTGCACGCCCCGAACATGAAAAAGAATCGATGACCAGTGGTTAGTTCCTTGGGTAGTGAACAGGGGTCCCTACATGCGACGGAGAACCTTCATGCTGGAGGAAGACCAGTGCTTTGCATGCTCGCCAGTGTAGCTTGAAACTTCACTGGGAAGTATGAACAAACGTAGATGATTGCGATGCTCTCAAGGCCCCTGCATCTTAAAATCACCCCAGAATCGATGTTCGATGGGCCATCTCGGGATACACGACGACAGCAATCGCAGGGACGATGGGCGCCCATCGCAGCAATTTAGGCCCAAAGAGTGCCGAGCGAATTTGGAGGGTTGAGGTGCAAGAGCACCAGAACGGACCGACACCGACAGCTCTTTTATTTGTTTTTTTCAGCATGAGCTCGGGCCTCAAGGGAGCGGGTCTATGCGAGCTTGCTGTGTCAGGCTGTATCAAATATAGCATCATGCCATAGAGCGTCATGTTAGAGCGTCCTTTTTGGATCAACAGTCCGAAATTGGTCCACCTTCTGAGATCTTGACAGGTCTGCAAGAACTTTTAAGAGAGCAGCAATCCATTGTGGTCGAGCAGTTGCTTGGCAGTATGGAGGCCTGAGCCATTGGCCTATAAGGAACATGATTCATCGCCCAGTGCTGCCATTCCAGAAGCACAGACTCTTACTTATACTTCAGTCATGTCAGCAGGTTTATCCAATTGTCTCACCCATCAGCCCGAGGCAGAGCACGCGTGAGGAGTTGCAGCGAATGCAACTGGTCAAGCCTGGTGGACGGAAGGTGATCGGAGCCTCTTTCGCCCAGCGGTCACGCACTGCCAGGGCCGTCCCAGCGACCCTGGCTGGCGGAAAAGCCTATGAGCTCTATGGACTCTGACCACGGACACAAACGATTCTGCACTCTTCTGCACGTGTTGGTCTCTCCCGGTCCCATGAAGCTGTTTGTGCACCGCTATGCCATCCGCTATGCCCTCCGCTTCCCCAGGCAACGGAAGCTGAACGACTTCGTGAAGTCGGAGCTGCAGCGCCTCAGCTCGCGCCTGGACGCGACCGATGCGCGGATCCAGCGACTCATCAGTGGTGAGGCACCAGCGAATCCTAAGCAGTTCATGGATGCTTGGCAACGGAGACGGTAGGGGCGCCTGGTGGGCGCCTAGGTATGCCTATATTGGGTGCCCGGGCGGGCGTAAGGGTAGACCGATCTGGCACAAAGGGGACCAAATTATGGAGCTTGCAACATGGCATGTGGAGCGATGGGATGATCATAGAAGATCATAGAAGAGTGTAATTAGAAAGTAATGAAGTCAGTCTTACCAAACATCAGGTAGAGATGCACTCGCGGATTTCTTGGCCCACCCTGCGTTGAGCTGGATCGGTTGAAGAGGAGCAAACCATATCACACAAGAGAGCGGACACATTGGTGGTCCTGGTGTGGGCATGTTTCATGCCTCTTGAGGAATCTGCCCGTGGCTTATTCAAATCAGAGGACATGGGCGCAGGGCACACAACGGGCTGGTGACCAATTTTGCAAACTCCAAAGTTCTCGGCCTTTTCAATGACCAAAATCAGACCAGCTGGTTTTCGGTTGCTATTTGATGCTCAAGTTGAAGGTTTTCGGTTTCCTATGATGCTTTTCATACATTTTTCCATCTGTTTTCGATCCCAACACAGGACCCGAAAGCGCTCTTGCCTTCGATTCGCAGGACCTTCACTCTCAGACCTCGGAGCCACCGAAGGACAGCGGCACCGGACCGCGCCCCGCCGTGCGCTTCGCGCCCGGCGCGGCCGGCCGCCGCCCGGCGCAGCCGGAGCCCCGTCTGCCGATGAGCCGTCGGGGCTCGGCGCCGGCGTTGCAGACGGGAAATGCCTGGAAGACGCTGGGCGATCGAAGAGAGTGATGGCTTGGTCTTTGAGAGTGATGGCTTGGTTTGGCGATTGGCTAGTGTCACACTGATGGAAGTGAGGATGGGGCCAGATCACCTGGAGGCGTGGCAGTGGGGTCACAAGTAATGACAGAAGTATAAATACAGAAGTGGACACTTTTGAAACAAGAAAGTATGCCGCAGACAAGGCTGCTAGTGACACTAGACAAAAGCAACTCCTAGGGCTACGTAGATTTCTTTGACACTGGTTTGCTACATGTGCTCCATGCAACGCATACATGTGTCTCCCTTCTGTGGAGCCCTTGCAGAATCTTCGTGCAAAGAGGCTACACATCAAATTCGAAAAGAAGATCTTGGCAGATGTTAGATAGTTAATTATTAATCTTTTACTATAGTCAAATATACATTACTTTTTAAAACACGTGTTCTAACAGTGTTTTGGATGTTGTTTTCTTTGCTGTTCCAAAACCGCCGAGGTCAAGGCCCAGGAGTTGCACAAGGCCTGTCAAAAGGCTCCGCCGCAGGACGTGTGGACGGAGCCGTCGGAGGGCATCACCTCCACCGTGTTGGATCACGCGGAGGAAGCGCTGCGCCGATGCTTCGGGAAGACCAAGGAAGGCCGGATGGGGTGGATGAACCTTCGTCCTCGGACGTGGGGTGGAAGAAGGAAACGGTTCTGCTCAGTGACTGGGTCGGTGAGGGTTGGTGAAGAGGGCGGAAGAGGGCGTGGGAAGGGGGCTTGGGATGTGTAGATGTGATCATGCGATAGGATATGAGAGGACTACCCAGAATGTCCAAGAAATGTGTTTTGCTTCTTTGATGACGTCTGCTAGGGTACTAGACAAGGGCATTCTTGTTTAGGAACAATGGCATACCGTGTATAGAAGCATTTGTAGGGAAAGAGTGGCTAGATAGTATTGTGTCTCGAGATGCTGCTTATGGCTTGTGGCCACCGAATCATCACACTTGTGTCAGGCCAGCGCTACGCCAACAACCCCTTGTTGGGCCTCAATGCCATTTTCAAACGTCTGGATCAGAATCATAGCGGCAAAGTGGATCGCACGGAGTTCCTTCAGTTGTGTTCTATTCTGGACTTCAACGGAAGCACGGATTTGATGAACGCGCTCTTCAGCCGATACGATTTGGATAGGCGCACCCGTCTATCCACGGGCGTGCCGTGAACATCGCGTAGTAAACAATTGTCAAGATGAGACAAGCGCCTTTGACTTCATGATCAGATCATCAGATCTGTCTTTTATTAGGGGGAGGCCATCGCTATCAGGTTGGAGGCCATCGCTAGTAGGTTGGAGGCCTGGAGGCCATGTTGTTTTCTGCTTCATGATGACGTGGTGGGTTACACCACCTCACAAAAGCGTTTTCTGCCTTTGACGGTTCTTTGTGATCTTTGTGTTCTTGCCTTCGGCCAAGGGTCTGGAATATCACCGTAATTAGGCGCGGCCGCGTGGTTCCCTGCAGGTCAAAGTACCTATCCATAGATGAGTTCGGCCGCATGCTCTTCAAGTTGGATGGAGATCCTCATGGAAACCTGGCTGACAACTTGATTGAAGTGGCTGCAACTATGGAGTTTTCCACAACATCACGATTCACGGGCTGTTTTGCACAGCTCCTACCTTCTTTTTTTGGCCTTCACCACAAATCCTGCAGGAAAAGCCCTGAGCACGATTGCCAAGATGAGAGAAGCCTTAGCTTTGAGAGCTGGTGGCTTTGAGACCTTGAAGGCCATGGCGAATCAGTTTCGCATCATGGATCACGAGCATCGACTGCAGGGAGACTCCATAGGAGTGATGGTGGAAAAGACATGGGAAAAGACGTGGAGTGAAAACCATCCGTTTTGGTATATAGTCGGTTTATTTCTTTGCCTCATCCAAGAGGCCATGCGATCCACGTAGCTATGATTTCTTTCAGTCGACTTGTGCAAGTGTTGAATGTGGGATGGTGTAGTGGATGGTGCTTTTCCTCTGGGCCCTGATCATCCCACACAGTCACGCGCCCGTCTCCAGCTTGCCGGTTTGTGGCCAAACAAGCCAAGGATAAATCGGGCGAACTCACAAAGGAGGAGTTCATGACGGCTCTCGATGTGTTCCTTGGCCCGTTGTGAGTTTACTCAGCGGGTGAGAGTTTTCTGGTGAGTGGCTTGCGCTCCAACAAGACCAACATGCATGATAGATGTATACATTCATAAAGAGAGTACGACGCCCTGGAGGTGTGTGTTTTTTCAGTGTTTTTTTTGCGTTTTTCTATGATTTTCAATAGATTTTCTATGTTTTCGTTGCATTCACCCATCTGGTACACATCACTTGTGCCCATAGCCTGCTGCCCCTTTGCCATGATCTTATCAACAGATTTCCTCATCAAGCTTTTAAACACATAGCTAAAGTCTGTATCTGTCAATTGCATCATAGCTGTCATCTTTGGAGGAATGATAGACTGTAGCTGATGGGCTGCATACATCTTCTTGTATATATCATCGCTAAACGAAGCAGCAAAGCAATCCCTCTGATAGATGGATACTGGATACATCCTCCCTTGCTTTTCAATGACCCATGACATAATGATATTGTCCTGATTGGAGGATGGTTGGGAATAAACATCATAGTGCTCCAACAAATGAGGATGACCCCTTCTGATCTTGACCCATTGCTCCAATGCCCTCCTGGCACTCTCCCCCTTCCTATGCAGCTTGATGTCTCCCAAATAGTTAAATGATTCATCCTCAATCCACCTGCCTTTGTCACCAATGTTGTCCAATCTTGCATGTTGCCCAGATACTATGAGCGCCCCCTTGCCCACATGTCCAATGGGGTCCTCATCAGGGTTGAAGAAATTGCTCACCAGCTGATGGGCCTCAAAGGTAATCCTCATCTTCTCAGTTGCTGAGTCCGTCATGATAATCAAATGAGCTCTTCCCCCACCCTTTTGATCCTCAGTGGTCACCAATTGCCAATCTTGCTTCGTCTGATCATCCAATGCCTCAAGGTCCTCATTGGGTTCCTGTCTCATGGGCTTGTTGGTTCAGCTCATCTTGAAGGTCCCTCCTAATCTTTTTGATGGTCTTCCCATGTGTCCTGGTCTCATGGCCTGCAAATACAGCCTTAGTTGATCCCTTTTTCACCCATACAGGAACCTGATCTGAGAATCCAAGCATACATTCAGGCTTTGCCACAAATTCCTTCAGATTTTCATGCCCCATGGACACAAGGCTCATGATATAGTCATGGTGGTTCCATGCCAATTCTGCTGGAATCTGCTGCTCCTCATTGCTCAAGGGCGCCAACGCATTTGGAGTCATATGTTTGGCACCAGTAGCATCCATAAGCATCTTGGCCCTCTTGTCCCTTTGCTTATACCCCTCTTTGATGCTCTTCATTTGGGATTCAGCACTTTCCAAGTGATTGATACAAAGAATCTTCTGGGGCCCATCTTCCAGCTCATCCCTTTTCTCCTCAAGCTTGACTTTCTCCACTGATAGCAGCTGAAAATATTTCCATGCAAGATCCATCTTCTGCACCCCATGCCCATAACTCCTTTCCCTTTCCAACCATGTCTTAACCTCACCAACCAAGTGGGGGAATTGTTGCTTGGCACCCCCACCTGATGCCCTGACTCTCATGTGGTTCCCACCTGATGCTTTTTTCCCTTTGCTCAATCCACTCCTTTGCGTTCTCTTATCTGCTGTTGTGCTTTGCTGATGCTTCAGAATCTTTGTCTCCCATTTGGACCTTTCAGCATAAATCCCCTTCAACGCATGAGGTCTCATCAGGAATGTCCTATTCCATTTCCTTGCGCATTTTCCTTTCTGATTCTTCAGTACGCTCTCCGTTGGGGGGGGGGTCGGCAAAAAAATAAAAATAAAAAAATTGGTGCTGCCTCAAATCAGGGCCACCAATTTTCTTTTTTTGTCGACCCCCCCCCCTCTGGAAAACTCTGTGCGGTCCATGTCGGCGACGCTGGCGACACTGCGATGTCTATGCGATGTCTGCTACTGTGATGTGGCGCGTGATGTGACAGTATCCTCCTACATTTTATCCTTAAATAAGAATACCTCCAGCGCATAGATAGTAAATTCGTAAGAAGGCTAGAACACTGGGAAAACACACACCTCCACAACGTCGTGTTCTGTTCATAAAGTATTCATATCATAGCTGCTGCATGAGCTCCTAGGCCACCCTAGGCTCGTTCCACCCTAGGCCCACTAGCCACCTATGATCATATACATTCGACTCTTTCCATCCGCATCCGTGTATGACTAAACGCTCCGGTCCAACGCTCGTCCATTGCGCTCGCGCGAAGCGACGGTTCGATCATCGGCGCTCGCGCTCACATCAGCGCAGCGAGGTTCTTCAATTGCTTCAACCTGCGTTTCAACGCCGCCGAAAAGCTCAGCCTCTTCAGTACCTTCGACCGTGATGGCTCTGGTACTGTGAGCTACGACGAGTTCATCCGTGGTGTTCGTGGCGAGATGAATGACTTCCGTTTGGAGTGGGTGAACAAGGCGGTGAAGTCGTGTAGCGTTTGCTGTGAAACCTTGACAAGCGCACATGGCATAGACGCTGAATGACGCTCTTTTTTTTGAGCAGTGATGCTTCTAGAGTGCTGATTGTTCCACCTTGGTGCTGAAGAAAACCAAGCGTTCCCTCAGCAGCTCTTGGCTCTATTGTTTAGAATGGTCGGAATGACCGATTGCACTTGTGAGGCCTTTAGTGTCCTGGATAAGGATGGCTCTGGGGTGGTGACCACGGCGGAAATGTCGCAAACCTACGATGTCTCGGCCAATCCGGCCGTTCAAAGTGGCAAAGCATCCTGGCTGCAACTTCCTGATAAGGGATTACAAAACGGTTGCACCTTTGAGGGAAGCAGCGAAACAAGTATTGTCCATTCCTGTTGGTTCTTATTGCCCATGCGAAGGGTGTGGCTTTTGACGCATGACACGCAATCACTCCGACATGCTGATTGTGCCTCATACATCCGCACCAGCTGCCTGACAAGCTGTTGGATACATTTGAGAGCATGCAAATCCGGGCTACTGGTAGTCAAAGCAAATCGTATCCAACAGCTGACGGTGAAAAGCCATTCTTACTAGCAGCCATTGTTACTTTTCCGGGCTAGTCCTCACCAGCTAGTCAAATGCTTTGCAACTTGTTCAGATTGTGTGAATCCCAGGTGACGCCGCAGCAAGCCATTGCGCAATTCATGAAACATTTCGATCAAAACTCCGATGGTCAAATCACCCGCGAGGCAGGGATCAAAACTCCTTATGGTTTGGATTCGGTTTGGCTGCCTGCGACCTTTGTTCCATCCATCATGTTCCATACAGTTCATGTTTGTGCGAAACCCCGTGCGAAACCCCGAACCAGTTACTGTCAGCGTTTTGGATGATTCTTGAACCTGATGTGGTTTTTTTTGGAGCTTCACCCAGCCACAAGCGGTCACAAGCTGTCATGATGGTGCTCGCGAGCGGATCGTCCAAAATTTTGTGAAACATGGGAAGTTGAAGTAGCTTGAAGCTGGTGTAGACGTGCCAATTGCAGGAGTTCACTGAGAACTATGAATGGGTCAGCGCTTCCATTGATAGAAGCTCGGACTGCACTGCGATGCTTGAATTTGCCTGAAGCAGGTGGTGAACTCCACTTCCACGTAAGTGCTCCTTGGAGAGTGCACAATTGTTTTTTGGGTTGGAGCGCCTTGATTGTCCCTTTGTGCTCAATGCATAAGGCAGATGTACCTTAGGTGATGACTACTTCGAATTGATGATGCGAAATGCTTGGCACATAGCAGGTGGCCACATCCTCAGTAAGAACCCAATGCGCGGATGTGATACAGAATGGGCTGCATGCACAGCCACCAGGCATGCTTTGCAGCCAAGGGGGGTTCTGACCAGAAACAATCCGAAACCAGCATTTCTCAGGTAGGACACTCATCCACACATACAGTAGCAAATGATGCTCAGACATTCTTTTGCAAAGTACCTTCAAGGAATCATAGAAAAATGCATTAGTAGCTAGAAGCTACTAGTAACAAGTGCATCGCTACTAGTAGAAGCTACTAGTAGCAATGCCCTTGTTACTAGTAGCGATGCGCTGCAACTAGCAACACATGTCTTTAGGACTTTAGGAACACTTGAGGTGAAGGCTGGTCCGCGAACACCTCGAACCTGCGCGTGCTGGTGAAGCACACACGTTCACCCGATGAGGCGCATACGAACCACCATACGTCTTCCATACGTTCTTAACCGATTATATAACATGTGCATCACAGTGTGCTGTAGACTCTTGATTAACAGTAATCAAGATTCCACCTTAAGCTTGAAAAAGACCTTGGCGCTAGACGCTAGATTCCTTAGACCAATGTCTTTCACAATTTGTTCACTTCTGAACAGCTGCAGGGCTGCTTCTGAACAGCCTGGATGCGCCAATTCACCCATGACGTGGGCCAGGTGGTTTGCGTGCTCAATGACTTGGGCCTTCCACGAGATCCAGCCCTGCGCACGATGGAAGTGGTGAAGCGCTTGAAGAGCCAAGGGGTTGCCTGGCCGGTGTCGAACACATCGAACGTCGCCGTGGGCTTTTCACGCCCACAAAAATGGGTGGTGGTGTGGTCAACAGCGAATGTGTTTGTGTTTGTGTTACTTCGTTTTTCGTTTGGGGGGTGGTTGAGCCTCATGAACATAGCTGTGGCATTGTGGGGTAAGTTTTCCCAGTTGTTTCCTGCTTCTTGAAATGGACTTCTCTACCGAGGTGATGGATATCGCCAAGATCGAGCCACTTAGATTGAGAAGAGAGTCGGGAAAGAGAGAGCCCAGCCACACTTGGTTTTTCAATGCGATCCGCCCAGGTTTTGCGGCTGATCCATCGTCGCGCTCGTGCGCGAACCGTTCGCGGCGCTCGGTGCACCGATGAGAACAGATGTCATCGGGCACCGCGTCGGGCGCTCTCAGCCATGCGGTCTGACCGAACCCGGTCTGGCCGTTTTGGGGTCAACTGCTACAGTGACTTTTGACCAAACATTGCATCGCAGCCAAACACGGACAGGAATCCAAGGCGTGAAGATCGACATAAGGATCCAACAAGCTTCAAAGGCTCCTTTTGGTGTTTGTTGGCTTTATGTTGGTGCAAAGTCCGGGTGTTTTGGCGGCGGAGCAGCTGTGAAAAAGAGACTCCAGTCTGAGTGAAGAAGCTGTAAAATTCGGGTGTTGAGCCATGATTCATCATAGTTCTTCATTGACCCAGTTATTGTTTGGGTGAAACTTGATGAAACTGGTGTTGGTCGCCTTCGAGGGCTCCACAATTCGGATTTCTTGGCTGGTGAATCTCTCCACGAGATGTGGTCCACTAACAAAGCGTTGGAAGCTTGGTCATGTCATTTCTTCAAGAAATGTGGACTTTGTTGACGGCAAACTTTGGATGGCTATTGCTCAAGCCTTGTCATCATTCTTACCCCCCAGATGTGATGCCTCGAAGACAAAAGAAAATCGTTTGGACATTCAAAAGGGCTTTAGCGGCAAGGAGACAGGAATAAGGCACTGACTCGTTTGGTTCTTGGGGAGCTTGGTCGGCCTGGAGAACGGATCCCACCCTGCCCACCAGATAGTCAGATAGTCCCATAGTCCCAGAGGTCATTCTGAGCCGAAGATTTTCATCATAGAGACCTGAAGTTGGCAGATTCGACTGAGCCGAGTCGGCAAAGCCTCCCGAGTACAGTAGACTCTTGATGAATATACCGTAAGACATACACTTAGAACATCGTTTGGATCTTTTTTCACAGGTGAAATGCTCTAAGTGTATAGGTCGCGATGTTCTAAGTGTATGTCTGCAAGTATAGAACCCTCCGTTTGAATTGGACCTCTTCAAAGCTCGGGGGGGGCGAAATATCAAGAGTCCACATCGACCTGCAGAAGCGACTGCACGTCGACCTCACAGGCTGCAAATCGACCTGCGCGGTCTGGGCTCGCCTGGAACTTGGGCGATCAAGCGTCTCTCCCCACGCATCCCGCGCGAGTCCCGTGCAGGCTGTACCACTCGTCTCACCTGAAGGAGGTTCCAAGACAGATGATCGTTCGAGACATGGGACTCATGGGACCTAGATCTTGGTATCTAGACTGGCTCTCACTCTCCTGTCGAGTGATACGCCCATGGGCTAGACCGGTGGAACGATCCAACGGCTGAGGTCCATTGACGTCACGGCGGCCTTGCCGGAGGACACACCGAAAAAGATCGTGACCGTGCGTCCTCATGGTTCCAGCCAAAGGGGGAGTCAATGGTGTTCAAAGTCAGACTTGCTTCTTTAGGCCTTCCTTTTCGGTGGTTTGGTCCTCTCTTCTTCTTTGGACCTTTATACTTCAAGGTCCGAGGCAGGAAAACCTCGGACTCGGCATTCGTACATCTCTGAAGGACTTCTCGGCAGTTGGGCGCCTTAGAGGACTCGTGCTGGCTCGATTGGGCACCTCGGTGAAGAATCCTCTAAGGCCTTGGAGGCTATGGTGCCATGCAGTCAGAAGTTCGCAACCGAGCTTGGGTTTGGAGCTGCGAGATCCGAAACTGGATCTGCAGTCGAAAGTTAGCTGCAGTTGTCAACACAGATCAAACTGACTTTTTGATGCTACTTGCATCTACCTGCCCAGTCTGTATCACATGGTTCGCCTTTGCTTGGCCCAGGTGTGCGAGCATAGTCAAGCAGCAGAGCAGAGCAGACAGCAGAGCCATGCAGAGCGGAGTGAAAGATGGCAGCTTTACTTGCGTTACTTCGGTTACTCGTTGCTTTACTTTCAAACTTTCAGGTTGCGGTTTGTGTCGTGCACTTGCTCTGACAGCCTTTTGTTCGTAGTGTGTACTCACTGCAGGGTGCCGGTCATCTGATAGACCTTGGCTCAGACCAACCAACAGCATCGAGACTCATGCGTCCTTTCCTGCCGACTTATCGGTTAACCCTTAATTGTGGCTCGCCAAGTATAACACCACAGAACTGCTACAAAAGGATTCTGATGGCACTTTCATGTCGGTTCATTTTTGGCAGGTGATTAGTTAGTCAGGTTGGGCACATTTGGGGACCCACGTTGGCACCCCAAACTCCTACAACATCATGCAAAACGGATCACTAAACATCAGATCACCTGGCTTTAGATGATGCCGGTCATGACATTCTTGAGGGGAGCTTTCCAAGGGGCCATGATATGGCGGTCAAAACCCAAAGGCCTCATCCCTGGTAGGTTGACCTGCTTTCTAACTCGTTTCTGTTCATTTGTGGTCCACCTTTCTATACTCTCCTGGTTTTGACTCAGGGTCATAGAACCTGATATAACACTCAACCTTTCTATACTCTCCTGTTGTTATATCCGGTCATAGAACCGGATTTAACACTCACGTGCAGTGTCATTTCATGCATATCCATCGGTGCCATCGCCCCATGCCGCTGGGCGACCTGGTCGTCGGTCGCACAGCGCCCGGTGGCCCGGTGGACGAAACCAACGGGCCGAAGCGGAGCGCCGAAGCGGTGCGCCGGCGCAGGTCGATTGCTGCGGAAGGGCTTCTGGTGAAACTACCGGGGTGGCCTGGCTCAGTTGAGAGGTAGAGTTTGTGATGTGCATGTGTTTTTTATCATTCTTTTTTTGGGATTCTCAATGAGAAACATTCCCCCATCCCCATCCAAACATCTTGCTTGGATTGATTCGGCAAATGCCGCTCAATACCAGTCGCCCCACATGCTGCTTAGATTTGTTTAGCAATTGTCTTCTCACCTTCATCCCAGAATTGATCTCATGAGGCAAGACGCCCCAGCACTGCTACCCCGTCAGGCTGTGTTTTTGCGGTTGGTGATGATTTGTGAGATAAAATGCGTTGCGCCAACCACGCGGTTCAACACTACTGTGCATGTCTTACTAAGCTCAAAGAAGCATCTTGAACGTAAACATAATGTCTATGGATATAAATAGCACTTGACTGATACCATTTGTGGCGTATTCAACAGGTGGCGTACAGTGGCATCGCGGTGGGTGATGAAATTTGCGATTTGTTGGACGCAAGCTCAGAAGGATTGTTTCCCCACTTCTTGCTGCCCACCCCGCGATGAAATGAATTTCTATGAATTTGTATGGAAGTTCTTCCCATTTCTGAGATTATCTCTAGAACATGTCAATCATCGGTAAAGCACATGCCAAGGTGGTGTGGTTGTATCCTGACGGCTCCGCAAGCGTGGTGGTGCCAGAAGCTACCGCTCAGGAGACCAAGTCGTCTCCACAAGAACGGACGCAACAACGATGGTTGAAACGGCCTGAGACGAAAGAAGTCGTTTTGCAGCGTTGGCAGGAGCTGGTTGCTACAGGCCTTGGAACTGAGAAGCTGTTAGCTGTTGCAAGATGCTGCAACATGCTGCAAAGCTGTTGCAACTGGTGGGAAGAGATGAACCAGCCGGTGTCGTCAGGCCAGTTTCCAAGTCTTGAGAAGCAAGATGATACGAGCATGGCGCCGGTGAGAAGCAAAGGCCGGGGGACACACCGCTCGGTCCTGCGGACACAGAGTGAGTGGACGCAACGAGGTCGACCGAGGTCCTGCGGACGCAAGAGGACGCAAGGAGATTCAGACTTTGGGGCCTTTTTGGATTAGAAGAAAAGGTCTTTGACTATTGACATCTATTGACTATAAGTACTGTTTTTGGCCTTTTTGGATTCCTGACATGAAGGTGTTGGACAATTAGGCCGCGGCCTATATAAGTACTGTTTCGTTTACTGAGCCATGAGCCAGATAGGCCGCTGGGGTGCAGCCAAAGAGCCCAAAGAGCCCAGCCCGGAGCTTGAGAACTCCAAGGACTCAGAAGCATCCAGGTGGGGTGGATACACACCGGCGAAGCGGAAACCGACCATTGGCGCAGGGGCAAGGAACCTTGGGCCACCAGTTGGCCACCTTTCTCATACCCAATGCTGCACCATGTCTCCCATGTCTCGTGCCTTTTTGGGTGCCTGGCTTTGTGTGGGGCTTCTTGTGCACACAAGCAGCAGCTGAAGTTGTCCGCTTTGACATCGGCAGGCTGATGCCGTTCCTTGTGGCCGGACATGCCACAGATGCGCCCACTTATGCAAGTGTCGCCCTGGTCAAGCCAGAAACCACCTTGAGTTACGTGAGCCAGTCCAGTGCCACTAAGAGCTCATCAGCCAACAAAGATCCTGCCAAAGAGCAGGCCAGGCACCACTTTTTGTCTCAGCAAGTCAGTTCTAGCCACATGTGGTTGCCTTACTTGATGTTTTGGTTCTTCTTCTTCAACCCAAATGTCACTTCTACGGCTTGTGAATGTGAGTCGCTTTAGCCCTCCCAGCGGCGCCCGAGATCCAAACTCTGGATGCAGGAGTCAGAAGACACGATCTACTCCAGGAAGCAACTTCTAACTCTCCGGCAGTCTATGCTCATGATGCAGGTGGCGCCTGGCCGGCAATCCGGGCCCGAAAGCTGTCGATCTGATCACTTGCAAAAACCGGATGATAGCAGCTACATGGCCGGCATAGTGGCTAGCATGTCTATAGTGACTACTGTAGGGTCATGGATGCCAAAGCACTGCATATGCGTTTGCTATTTTCCTCCGGCGTCGACGCACGACGCACGACGGCGCAGGATGCAGGCGAGTCAGCATCCTCACCATTGCCGACCTCGATGCCGTGCAAGGAGGAGGAACGAGTGAACTGCCGTGCAGCGGTAAGGCAGATGCAGCGGCAGATGCAGTGGGTGTTCCAGGCTGGTTCGGTTTTTCTGACAGCCAGCCTGCTAGGAGCTGGACAGCAGCATGCTGCAAATGGTCATTTGCACGCGGCAGCTTCCAGTGTGGTGGGGCAGATGTGGCAAAGAGGCCTGAGCTGGGCGATCAAAGCCATTCGAGAGAAAGTGATCGCCATGCTGAAGTATATAGCATTGTTTGCCACACCATGGCTAGCATGTGAATCCATATGAAATGGATGCCAGTTGTTCCAACTCTTTTCCACTAAAGGATTAAAGGCTTTAGCTCTTGGAGGTTTCACTATCCCTTTAGACCTACCTTCACTCACTGACTCAGACTCTAAACCACTTCCAAGCGAAAAAAAGGCTTCGCAAAACGCCGCCGCCCACGACGAACAATGCTTCAAAGCACCCACCGCATGGGTCGTGCGCGAGGCCAAGCGGCAAGCCTTTCGGTTGGCGTGCCGCACGGGGCGTTTGCGGATTGTGAAAGCCATCTACGCCGTTCGGGGCCTTAGATTTGGCGGTCTGGGCGCAAAGAAGGATTAGGACATATTAGGACAGATTGATGCAAAATGTCTCAAGAGTATGGCAATGATGGGCACATCAATCTTAAGAAGTCTCCCTAGGGGGGCGATGTGGGCATTGACACAGACTTCTTGGCCGAGACGGTCAAGGCCGACATGTATGAGCTTTCGCCGGTGTGCTTGTTGGGGTTCTTTGTGCTATTTGTTTCAGGAGATGTGCAATGATGCACAGTCATCCGCTGGCTTCAAGCCTGGCAAGAAGCACAAGCGTTCAGAGGATGCTCGAGGAGATGCTGTGCATCCGTTGAAGCATTTGCTGACATGGATGGAGATTTAGGATAATGATGCATATTGCAGGTGATATAGAATGCGCATAAAGGGAAGGAAGACAGGTCGGTCTAGAGTTTCAAATTTGTCAGATCCACTCACAGCTGATATTGAGCGGCCGCACTGCCCTTTGCCGTGACACCCTGAAAGAGAGCGAGCTCCGGCTTACTCCTCACGGGTCGGGTGGCCACGCGTTGGCCATCGGAGGATCCCTTTTGGCGTGCCACAATGGGTTCCTGAAATGCTTCTGGCATCTGAATGCGCAAGACTCGAGGGACATAGTATCATAGGGGGTCAATGCAGCCGTGTTTTCGGGCAAGAAAGACTGCCATGCGCATCATGATGACACAATTCCAGCATGCATGCAGCCAGCAACATGTCCTGAGATTCTACATCCGGCCTAGAAATGCCACAGGCTCGTGGTGGAAGGCGCACTGGTTCGTAACACCAAGTGCCCAAACCCCGGCAGCGTAGAGACACAAACCCGGCAGGCAGCACATCCACCCCAGATGAAGAAGGAAGAACCACACGATAAGTGCCTTCCTTCTTGAGCTTGACATCCAACATGTGTGGTGAAACTATGTCAAGCTGACTGCCAAGACTGGCCGTTTTGATGTCAGGATTGCTCTTGTCAAGGGCAGAGGCGCAAGCCGTTGCGGCTTGGGGGCGAGCAGGGGCTGGCGCTGCCACCGCTGGAGTCGCCTCACCGGCAGCAGAAGCTATCGCCTGGCTTTTGGAGCATGGTGCGCCGGTGGGGTTGCTGCTACCAGAGGCCCCAGGAGCCAGACAAGCTTGTCCTGCTGCAACTTGCAACTAATTAGAGATGCCTGGAGTAGTGCCTGGAGTATGGACTCATGTCATGTTATGTCAACCAGGTGCAAGACCAGAAACGGATTTCAAGCGGCAGTTGTCACTCACTAAGCTACATGGCATGCTCCTCGAGCGGACATCGCTACCAGCACTGAGCAGCGGGTGCGATTGTCCAGCAGGACCAGAGGCGTTATCCGCTCGCCTACGTGGGCTGGGCATCATAGCCGAGTACCTGGGCATATCTGGGCCTCAATGATAGGTCGCAACGGAATTTTGTGATTGCAGTCAAGTGAGATTTGTCAATGTCCAAACACAGACTCAGTTGCTCGAACCATATTTCTTCGAGAAGACCGTGCATGTGGTCCTCTTCGAACACAAAACTGAACCGTCGTCTCAAGCAAAACCTTCGACTCGATGTACCATCGACTGCCGGCCGAATGTATTCTGGCATTCTGCAGGTATGGTCCCTCCATCTCGGAGGTGGAGCACATTGTTGAAGCTGTGGCTGGATGCCTCAAGGACCCAGAGGTGGGACATGGTGGGACGACCAGCAGCTGGGGACGGGAGAGACGCTCGACACGTCTAATAGTACGCGGATCGTCGGATCGGCAGACGGGGATCGGCAGACGCGGATGCTGGGATGGATGAGATGGATGAGTCGTTCTTGAGACATGAATCAGGCCTAAATCAGGTAGTTTCATTCATAAGTGATATTAAGTGATGTCACCCTGTGATGGACACACGTGTGATGGCGTCAACCGACTTTGGGGGACACCATGGGACACCCAACTCCACCAGGCCTCAGGGAGGTTGGCGGCAGCCCAGACCTTGGCGAGATTTGGAACCGCGGCCGGCCAAGCTCCCCGAGCCCTACCGCGCCTCCGGCGGCTCGTGCAATCGGCGCCTCGGGCGGTGGCGCCCCTCGGGCGGGTCCGGTCGTGGAGCCACACTCGTGGACAACGACGGTTCGGTCGCCTCAGGCGACGGTCAGCCATTTGGGCCGAAGCCGTTGAGCCCACCGGCCGAAGTCGTGAAAAGAAATCCGATTCGATGAGGGTGGAGGCCATCGCTCCTAGTCCTAGGGTGGAGGCCATCCCTATTAAGTAGGGAGGAGGCTACATCGCCATTAGAGTGAAGGATGGTGAAGGCCGTCGCTGTTAGGGTTGGAGGCCATTGTTGTTGTGGGTGGCGAGGACAAAGATGCCAAAGTACGAGAAGCTGCTGCTCTGGCCTTGGGATGCCTGGGCCGCGATGGTTTGGATGTGATGGCCAAGTTGGAGACGGACGAGGCACGAATGCCCCGACTGGACGGTGTTGGTCAGGACGGTGTGCAGAACGTCCAGGAAAGGCACTCAATGTCGATGTGTCGGCAGTTGCCAGAGAAGTTTCACCGTTGGTTGATGTTTCATCCCCAGACACGACCCATGCGACTGCCATATATGCCGCCCCATTGACCCCCCTGGCACCACCCCAACTGATCGGCATATATGGCAGTCGCATGGAGTGTCTGGGATGCTTTTCTTGTTTTCGATCCCTTCGGTTTCGATCGGCTGCACCCGCGGCCTGCGCGGCCGGCGGCGTCGGAGGCTCAAGGTCTTTATGCACTCGCCATCGGCAGCAGCGGATTGGCGGGAGAAGCTCTGGTGGACAGGTGTGTTGATTCAGTTGATGTGGAAGACTGTGAAGGTGTTTGCTCATAGTGCTGACTGTCTCAGGGTGAGCTTTACCCAGTGGTAGTTCCTTGGCGCAACCTGCACCACACTTGGATGTTGGAGGCTGCTGGCCTTCCTCGCTGATCCTGCCACGGAGGCCACGGCATTGCGGATGCGTGCTGCCGAAGCGTGAGGAGCTCACGTGGATTTCGTCAGGACTCCGACAGAAAGAACATGAAAGAACCCCCGGGGCCAGCATTTTGGCCGACTGAGGCTGGGTGCTCGTGGCGAGCTGGCATCGGAGATGCAACTGGAAGCTTTGGCTCGGAGCTTGCAGCATGACACAAATGAGATGGTGCGTGAGGCGGGATGTGACTCTCATGAGTTGTCGGGTGAGGAGTGGGCGTCGAGATGAGCTTGCTGCGAGAACCCTTCTGTGCCTGACGGTCAGGCATGTGCGAATGCCATTGGCGTCATGGGCTGCAGCAACAAAGGCCTGTCAAGACCTGTCGATGGGTTCATAGATCATGGGTTCATTGTTGGATTATATGTGGATGGGTAATATGTATATGAACCATATAGATATCTACCACTCGCCTGTCAGTTTAGATGGTGGAATTTCTGTTGGATATGGTGAGTGATTGGCCGAGTGGCTGCAGCCACCATAGTGGCTCAGGCCTCACTACCTTGGCCAGAGCTTCCTTGGAGCTTGGCCTGGAGGAGCGGAGGGTACTGGGAACTCGTTCCATTTCAATGGGCGCTTGAATGCGCTTGAGGATACGCCAAGATATTTCAAGACTCTTGGCATTACACTTCAAGTATCCAACAGATCGATACGGAGCTTAGTGAGTTCGAGTGAAGGGTTGCATTAAAAAAGATTGACGTCCCGGTCGAAGGTGATTTTATTCTGTATTAGGCACGCCTTCATGACAGATTGGCATGCCCATTTGGCGCAGGATTCATCCGCATTTGTAAAGGAAGCAGCAGAAAAGGCCATGCAGAATCTTCCACAACTTGCCGCTGAAGATTTCGACATTCCACAAAGCGTGTGAAAAGACCAGCATTATCAGAAATACATTATATAAAATATGATATTGTTTTTACTATACTACTAATATTATTACATAAAACGGTAACGGCAACACCATTCTGGGTTTGGCAGTTGCGCGCGCCGAAGGTCACCGCAGCCTCAGTCGCGCCAAGAGCAAAAGATTTGTATGTCCGTGTTCTTGAAAAGCCGCTCAAATTGCCAAAAATTGTTTTCCGATTCTTTCCAAAATTGATGGTTTCTGATTGTCAATTTACCGGGAACCGTATAAGGGTTTTGACGTTTTGCGATGTGCAACTTCTCGGGAGATTACGACTCCCTGAAAGAATCATGATGATTGTACATGGACAAGAGGCCCCTCCTAAAAAGACCCATTTCCGCTACAACAAGGTCGATGTTTGGATGGAATTGTAATGTTTTTCCTATTTGCATGGACCGTTTTCCGCTGCCCTGGATCTGCGCGCGCGCCCTCCTCTACGGTAGAGGGGGCGCCAACGGACCCAGGGTGTTATTGCAAGGAGCCGCCGCCCCGACAGAGTTGACAAAATCGCTGTTCCTGACGCCCCTCGTTCTAAACTGCCGCTCGCAACAACTTCTTAGGTAATCTTTTGATTATTGAATTCAATTGAATATTTTTGGGTTCGATATCCTAATAATAGAAATTAATAATATTATAAATATAATATAAAATATGCAAAACATATTAAAATTAAAGAAATTATTAAATATATATATATATCGTCTTATTGAAATAATGTATTCATTATATCTATTGAATTGGTCGTATTTTATATTTAAATTTCGATAATTATATAAAAAAAGAATTTAATATATATAATATATATTTTTTTGATATTAAATTAACATTATATATATAAATAGATATATTTAAATTCATATAATATTTTTATTAATATTTATAATATATGCATCCGATGTTTTAAGAATTTTTATTCGAAGAATTTTTGATTTTTGGTACGATTCGGCATTAATGTAAAATTGATATATCGATTCTTTTTAAGAATGGAATGTTGGAAGATTTCTAGATTGTTGTATCGTAATGATTGAATATTTCTTTTAGATTCTGAAAATTATATAATAACGGCATTAATTTTTTTTGAAATTATTATTAGGATGAAATGTTAATTTATTGGCTCTTGGAATATATTTTTTAATGGAGGTAATAATTATTTCTAAAATAACGTAATTTTCTTTTTTTTTTAAATATTTTATATAATTTTGATGGGATTAATGGAATTAATGAATGTATCGTATTTATTTGATGGATGATTATATGTATTGATTGACCCGTTCTATCCTCTCCGTATCGTATAATTCGCTTTTTACTATTCGGGACGGCAATATGATGCTATGAAATATGTTGGTTGATTTAAAAATCATTTTTTGAATATTTTTCAATGAAATTATATTAAAATAGAGATGGCAATATTAATTATTATATGATCCAATGGGTTAGGATACTATATTTGTATTTATATTACTTCGACATCCTGATCAAAAATCTTGCAATTTTTAAGAATTTATACACCGATGGCATAAACAGATGCCATACACCAATATATTTATGTGTGCATCTCATTATCTATCTTCAAATTGAATGATTTTCGGATTTGCATCGCAAGAATGAAAGATCCTGATTGATTTTCCAAGAATTGAAATCTTTTTATTTATATATGCTACTCCACATGGCCTGACAATGCACTGGATCCAATACCGCATCGTTGGCATAACCACACTTAGGGTCGGTTCCTGACGCCGGCCATTACCAAGGTTGTCCCCAACGAATGGAAATATTTGGTTATTAGATGATGATCGCCTGCCTTAGAAAAATCGCCTTTATAATTGTACGAGGCTTTGAAGCTCCTGAAATTTTCACATTCGTGTGCTGCCCAATACGGGCTAATATGAGCTTGACCGACTATTATATTATATATTATAATATATTATAGAGATATATTTCTTTCATCTTAAATTCATAAATATATAAATTCTATTATATTTGATTTATCGATTTAATTAATGCATTATTCAATATAAATAAAATATCTATATGGATATTATTGAAAATATACTTATTAATTGATTCAATAATTATTTTTTGTCGGATATTAATTAATATTTAAAATGTTTTTAGACCAAATTTTTATAATTAAATATGATTTATTCGATGAATTCATAGATTATGTTTAAAATTAACAAATGCAATTATGTATATTATATAATTTATATTCGTGATTCTCGACGAATGGCTTTGGAGGGGAAATTTTGTACGATAAAAAGATGGAAATTTAGTAATATATTGATGAAACGGAATCTAAATTGTTATTTATTGTTCAAGAATTATTTCAATTGTTTGGCGAATGGAAGGAACGATTCCATTCCTAATTATAAGGTCGCACTATGCCACTTTAATTTTTTCGTGATTTAATATAAATATACATATTAAGAATTGCAATAGAAATTATGAATCCTGAATCAAGAATTATATATATATTTTATATTACAAAAACATACAATAAAATAATCCTCGATAATATCTACATATTAATTTGCATTTATTTTGACAAGAATATTATCCCAATATTAATATATTCAATCTTAATCATTATTTATATATTTTGTTCTTTTGGATTTGTTCCCCAATACCCTTAAATTCTAAATTTTGTTTCATCGAATTCATAATCATATATTTATCCACGAGGTGCAGAAAAATCGAATTATAAGGCTTTATCATTATATTAAATAAAATAAGAAACAATGAAATATTTAATTAATGAAAATCTTTTTTTTCCCGAAAATAATGCGAATATTCAAATCATTGCATATTACTTTATGAAATCTTATTTTATGGCATGGATTTTGGCATTTGTAAAAAACGAATATATTTTGCCAAATTGAAATAGATATGAAATATTATGCGTATTTCATTCTCTTATAATAATCTATATCTATCCTTTAGGTATCTATATTTTTTTTTTCCAAGATTTCCCTCTCAAAATTATTGTCGCGGACCATTCCACATAATATGCATCTCGACCGATATCTTTCAATTTCTTATATTTATGAGGCATCAAGATGATATCTATCATAATATTATTTGATATATTATTTGGCCCGTGGATGACCGGACATACATTTTATATATAGATTATCGGGCATATATTTCAATAATTTCTATTGATATTTACCAAATTTACTATGACATAAATAGAATAAGAATATATAAAAGAATAGATTTACTAGAAATAATACGACATACCAATTATATCTTTTATACTTCCATTAACCTTAAAAATTATGTATTATAAATTAAATATATAATTTCAAATAATGAACAAATATATCATTAGGTCTCAAACGCTACAGTAATGCTTAATTTAGATTTCAAGACATATTTAGCAATAATCATATGGTTTGCAAAATCAAATCCATATAGAAAATAATCATTATATATATATATAGAAATATTAATATATATATATCCCAAAAGATAAAGATATTTATTCAAACCAAACATTTATTAATTTTTGATTTTTATATTATTATCTTTTCGATCATTTTTATACATTTTCATATTTAAATATATTATAAAGAAATAATCCAATATTTCAATTAATATATATATATTTATTATATATTTCAAAAATTGAGATATAAATATATCTTTTCAAAAAAATCAAATATGTTCATTCATATATATATATATTTAAATATTATTCAAAACAGATTTATATTACATATTATATCATAATCTATATTTCTATTCTTTCTATCTCCTTCAAAAATTGTTTAATATATTGATTTCAATGAAATTCATCAATATATATATATATTCTATATTCTACAATATTTTCTTCAAATTTAGAAAATCTCAATCCATATCAAAATAGCCTTCTTTATATACCTAAATTATTTATTTATATTAATCTTATCAATATTAGAGCCTATTTCAACCTATTTGTTAAAACCTAAAATTTTGTTTATATCCCTACAACATGCGTTTCTAATGCTATAACATGTTTTCACCTAATCCTATCCCTTATTTGTCTATTTCGCGTAAATATCCTACTTATGTTCTGAAAGAGGAAGGGCGTATATATATATATATGAGAATATTAGTCTAAAAATCGGTATTAATCACGATTAGTTTTGATATTTATCAAAATATTCCTTTTGGACCGCCGGCCACTTCAACTTTGCCACGCTCCATCTTTCGGTTTTTGAGGTAGGATATGAACTCCCGAGCCTCTCCCTTTTCAAGATCTTATGATCAAATTCCTTCTGCGTCAAGTGGTGGAAACGCGCAATATAGATCGCGTAACCCCTGCGGGTCACAGGGCAATCAATCGATGCCCCCTCGCAAAAGTGGTATATATATATAAATATATTTGATAGCTTTCCGCCTCCTTCTTTCATCCACCCCCACATACACGGATCATTGGCCGTCACATAGCGGCCATAGGCACAACGGCCCTTTGCGTACTCAGGGCATCTATAATCTGTATAATCACGGTCCCTTGAGCCCGTCCGTCATTGTCCCGGATGGCGCCTTCAAATATCTTCCCTTCCCAATCTACTCTATACAAGGCAATATTTTCTCTTTGACGTGACTAATTCGTTATTATAAGCAGACAAACCAAGACCTAATCTGGGATGGCGCGATGAACCAGACGAACCAATATCTAATGCTGGGGCAACATGAACAGCCAGACGAACATCATATATGTGCGTGCAAGACGGCACACATGCAAGCATCTTATCCGCCTCCCCCAATCCCCTAAAGATACATAAATATTTTTTGCATTCCTCCCGAATTCCCCCCACTTGAGCTTTACACATATATGCACGACAATCTACATACAAACATCTTAAATGAACGCAAAAAAGCCTTGGTGTTATTTAGCCAAATACGTAATAAAACGACCGTTTCTATCCGACATATAGTTTCCTGCATATTTCCGTAGTCTTTTCCTGTCCTTTCCAATCTTTTCCAATTCCAGTCAAAAATAGAATTCTACACGGTATTTCTGTTGTTTCCCCACAAAAATGAAAACTAATCTACGGCGCGGCTGGCGCATACAACGCAACGCGCTTTGTCACATGCCTCCAATGCGGCGGCTTAGCTGCGAATCTGCACTTCTTTAACGATTTCATCGGCTCCTTTGACAATGCTTCCGCCGCATCGCAATAAATTTACAAAATTATATGCTATTATATCAGATATATCTATCAATATTTCGCTATCAATATTTATAATCTATAATTCCAATACCTCTATCAATCTTTTATTTAAATCAATGCATAATCTAATATGCATTCTCTCGGTATCTTCACCAACACCTCTCTATTTCGATTTTAACAATAATACCTATCTGGAAGGCAAAACAATATATAAGAGAATAATAATCAAAGATAGAAATAAAATATATAATTCAATTAATATTATATTCAAACCATTCTATCCAAAAAGAATAATCAATTCAATTACCTTATTCCCATTACATTATTCCCAAATTCGACAAATGATAAATGCCCCCATTTCCGATTAATCCATAAAATTAAATTTCTAAATTCGACGAATCCCCCGATCATATCCCTTCATTTGTCCAAAATATGATTTTTTTAAAATTGAGTTGAATATATTAATATTTCCAATTTATGCAAATATATTATGTAATTCGATTCCATATATTTATAAATCATTAATATAATATTTCCATCTAGAATTTTACAAAATCCAACCTTTTATATTTTCCAAATTAAATATATTCTCGTATGCAAAAACTAAATATTCTATTTATCTAAAATTATCATTCAAATTATATTATATATATTCAAAAAAAAAGAAAATATTTATTCAAAATTTATTAATTTCGAAAATTTCCGAAACCAATATATAATGATTAAAAATAATTCCAATAGATTACCTATCAATTTTTTATATTATTTAAAATAATAAGTTTTAATCCTTTCGGAATTATTAATTCAAAAAAATCATTATAAAATAATATGTTCCAATCCAATTCCCATATAAATTAATTATTTAACAATATATTAAAAAATATCAAATCATATAAAGACCAAATTAATAAATCCTTCCCCCTATATAAAAAATTCAAAATCTAAAATGCCATTCAACAAATCCACTCTCCTTTAATAATTTACGGAAAAAAAGAAAAACAAATGTAAGAATTAACATAATAAGAATCGTAATGACAATAATAATAAAAATCATTATTATAATTATATAGAATGATATTAATTATCGTAGCAATTATATATTATATAATAATTTTTCCTATAATATTACAAATAATTACCAATAATCAAATTCCATTTCCGTATTATAAAATCCTACATACAACAACACCCAAGCTCCAAAGCACGCACTACCTCATTGGCAATAACGATTTAACACCAACATCCAATACCGACACCCTATCTCCACCACGCGCAGAACCAACTCACAACACCACCCAGCACCGATACCCGATCTCGAAAGCGCGCGTAGCCAATTCATTCTTATTTAACATAAGAACCCTATAGTTATCACTATCTAGGGAAAAATATCAAACGCAAATAAGGATATTATATGATATACGAAATAAACACCTCCAAATTTTGGCAAATAATTGTGCTACTATCCAAAACAAAAATGAACAAATATTCAGACATTCTTCTTTAAAGACTTCAATAATCTCCAAAATTTCCGGAAGGTTCGTCCAAAATTCTCGAAAAAATTGCAAGTTTCGGCCTCATCATCGTAGGTCAGCGGTCATTTACGTTTGTCGTATCAGATTTTCGACAGGATGTGCGCAATGGGCCGAAGGGTTACCGCCACCGCTTGATGTAATGGAGCTTCTTGTTACTAGTAGCGTCCTTGTTACTACTAGTAAGGCATTTGTTACTAGAAGCGATGCACTTGTTCCTAGTAATTAGCTTCTTGTTCTCTTTTTATATTTTGAATATCTTAATTTATTTTTTTGATTTTTTTGCAAGGTTTGCATTGAAACCTCCAGATCTTCTTGTGAGATGGTTTTCTCCGAGATCGCCAAATATGATCCTCGGGATATCAATCTTTCCTCATGGACAACCTTTACAATTGTATTCGATGGTCTGTCCAGCAATTGGTGCAGGATTGCATGCTGGTGGATGACAAATCATCTTCGCCCAGTCCTTGCCCTCAGGGAATTCAGGGAGCTCGGGAAATCCGATGTTTTCTCTACCCAAGTAAACTGAACCATCATCGGGCTAAGTGTTTTCTAACCGTCTCACCGATCCCACACGATTCTCCTCCGGTGACCCCGTGCCTGGCCGTCGCAACAACGATCAGCAATTTGCCAACATCCCTCACCGGACTTGACCGTTGTCTTGCCGTGATCCGGCATAGGCGGCCGTGGCGTTGGCTTCACTGGTGAAATGTCTAAAGCTTTCAACCTGGTTGGTGCTTCTAACTTGCTTCAAAAAATGGTGGGATTAATATGTCATCCCACAATAAAAGGTTTGAACATGTTGAACATAAAAGGATCTGAAGCCACCCAGCAACCATTCGCAGTAGTACTTTTCGCGCTGTGGATTGGCCGACTTGTCCGCCGGCCGAATCACCTCAAAGGGGTTTTGGATGCTTCGAGGTGATGTTTGGGATGCTTCGAGTCCAGAAAAGAGGCCATCGCTCGTAGGGTGGAGGCCATCACTAGTAGCTAGTAGGTTGCATCGCTAATCGCTAGTACAAGTAGGTTGGAGTTCGGGACCTTGAACTCTCTTCTGAATTACACTGCAGAAACGGGCCCGGTGTGACCGGTGGCGCGTTACACGCAGGTGGACTCGCTGAGAGGACAAACGCAGGGGCTTCGCACCTCCAGGGAGGACTCGAAGGTATGCGCTTCGTCCCATGGCTTGGAGTTTTGTTGCCAATAGGCGATCGCCGTCAGCCACGCCATTTGGTCCTTGTCGCAAATGCTATCCGGGTTGGCACACAGATCCACTGAAGAGGCCTCGGAGAAGAACATGGCTTTCTTCAAAGGCTGGTGGAGCATTCCGGCAATGTAAGCCGATTTGCGTTGATTTGATCAAACGCCATCTGAAAAGAAATCAAACACCATCTCCCGAACGCACTCCAGGAGTCCAACGGCCCCCCCCGAAAAAGGAAGGAACCTCCCGCCCAATGGACGAGGGCGCCTTCTGGACGATGGCCTCTAAGCCTTGGTAATTGCCGGGCCAGGTGAGCTGCGTGGCGCCTCGCCCGAACCAACAGTTCTTGGGATCCACTTTGTTCCCCCAGAAATCGGTACAGCCATCGGCTGGAGCGTCTGCACCATTGCAGGTGGTGATGGTGAAGCCTGCAATCTTGGCCTTCCTGGCAAGCAAGAAGGCAAGCCAAAACATGGCACAGGCCTTACTTATCTAAACAAATGCAGAAACAACCAAACACAATACATATCGAGAGAGAGAGAGAGAAAAACCACTATATATAGTCTTTATAACATGCTAATCTTGCTAAATGCTGCTAAATGTAGAGTTATAATGAATTATACACAGACACCTGCAACGCTCTTCATGCAGAGTTGCTCTGATGTGTAGTCGTTGATCTTGCCTCCGGAGCAGCCACCTTTGCAATCAGGATCCTTGTCGCATGGGCAACTGCCATCTTCCATGCGGACTCGTTCCTGAATTCAGGGCCCACAACCTGTTGATCACCATCCCCCAGCGTTATTCACGGCGGTCGAACGCACCGCCAGTCCGTCCCAAACATTCGAGACTGAAGACACGTCCAACGAGTTCGGCCCGAACGCCACCGTCGTCCGTCGTCCGGGCCTGTCCCGGTCATCGGCGGTCGGGTCAAGTGGGGGGGGGCGCGGGGTCTGTCCTTGCAAGCGGTCCAGTGCAGGGTTTCCACCTTCAGATTCGCCATCATGGCGACCACCGTCATGGCTTTCACCTTCGTTTCGCTTTCGCCCAGAAAGGTCGGTACATGGTCGGCCACCGCCATCTTGTTGTACTGGCAAACAGCGCTTAAGTAGCTCTTCCAGGTGTAGAAAGCTGGCACCTTCAAAAGCGTTGATCGATTCTTTTTTGGTACATGGGCGTGTGTACCCAAAATTGGGAGACCTCCCGATCAACGACCCCCCCCGGAAGAAGAACAAAGAAGGCCACGACCCATCGGGCACATTCTAAGAAAAACAATTTGAGCCACATAGCACACAAGTTCTCTGTAGTGCACATGCGGCATCTCACATCACTTTAGGAGCCTTTCCAAACATTCGCCTCTTGCCAGGCTTCGCCCAGACCGAAGAGATTTCCAGTTGGGCCAATCTTCTCGCCGTAGTCCTTCAGCAGCGCGTCCACCTCTGGGCAGCTGTCGCGATGTTTCTCCACGTGTGCATGGGCCAAAAGCACCATGTCCTCAGAATCGCAGTCGACACAAACCTCTGGATTGACGTCCGCCTCCGCCAGCACTGCAAACAGCACCACAAAGAGCCTCATGGAGCTGCAGCCTTCGCTACTTACAGACTCCGACACTCAAGCTTTGAGCCGCAACAGCTTGCAAGGTGCAGAAGAAACAATACTTGCATTCTGCGCATGCATGCTGACTTTTTTTCTCACACACGCACCATCATATAATTACCTCCTTGTAAAAAAAATGAAAAAAGAAAACACGCTCCTTGGATTGATCGCAGAGAATCTCAACCAACCCTTGATCAACCGGCTGCCTCCGCTTTTTGGGCTCGCTCAATCGGCCAATCGGCCACGGAATGTCAATAAATCTCCCGGAACCGAGAGGCCCCTGCGGCCTTCAATGCCTGCAGCGTTGCATCAGAGGGAGAGATGCCACGTTCAAGCATCCTCTGGAAGACCTCAAAGGAAACTGCGCAGTTGACGTGGAGAAATACAACGATAAATACATGTAAATACAATGAAATACACTATACACTCCCTGAAACAATCATGGACTTGAAGCGTGCGCCCCTGGAAGACTGCTTTTCTCTACGAAGGGGTCCTGGTTAGCTTCCATGGCTTGTTGGAGGGAGGGTAAATAATCTAAGACTAAATCATCCTCTACTGGAAGGCCTTCCGTGTAGGACGTGGCTCACCCTTTGCTCAAAACACAAAACACAAAGAAAGGAACAACAGGTAACAACACATGGGGCCCGAAGATGACCATGTTTGTAGCAAGGGGCATGGAAAAAATTTGCCTGGGCCTTTGGAAATGTCATCGAGCGAACAAGACATCACAAAGCCCTCCTTCTCATGCTCATCCCGGGACTGTGGAGGAAAATGCTCTGCCTATGTCATCTATGTCCTCTTCTATAGGGGCCTTGTCTGAGAGTATGTAAAATGTTTACACCGTGTTTTTCCCGCGTGTCATTTGCCCCCTCTACTTCGTAAATCTTTGGGGGAACGGGATACTTGGGCAGGACTCTTCGCCTCTTTTTGGATGGCCCGTCCACAGGGAATCCACGCAACAAGATCAACAAGGCATGAAATTTGGGAGTATGAGTGTGCCCCAAAGATATATGATTGCAAGAAACAAACCCTCTGTGCCTGCGAACCCCTTTTTGAACCTCATCATTTGCCTTCGTTTCCTGACATGATCCATCCATTGCTTAGCATGCCTCGTCCAGTGCATGCTGCATGCCTCTCGCATCACAAAGCAACACATCGTGAAACAACGAAAGCTCGACGCCAATCCGAAGCGAAATCGCTTCTCCGGCCACGACACGAAGCTGAAGGGACCGAAACGAACGGCCCGAGTGTCTGACCGAGTCATGACCGGCCCCACCTCTTCTGCAAAGGCCTTTCTCTCATCAGGGGCTGAAGATGATGACTCTGCACACGCCCGCAAGAGCTGATTGAATTGAATCACTGTCGCTATCCTGAAGTGCTGTTTCGCTTGTGGCAAACAATGGGTGCGTTTGAAAGAAGAAAGGTAGAAAACTATAAGCGTGTGTTGTGCTTGTGCCTAGTTTCTGGTCACCTCTGGCTGCGGCCCGGTCCATTCTAGTGTCTCTCTCTCTCTCTCATCTATTTACATCCTTCCAATGTAGGACTACCGTACTCAGCGTTGTCTTCCAATTTGGTCCCCTCTGCTCGGGAAGCGTATTTCGCTCCACATATGACAGCAGTCTTGGTCTGAAAGCGGTCGCTCGGTTGCTCACCCTCAAACCCTTGCGGCTTTTGACTACCCAGACGTTCCTGGACCCGAACCTATGGAGGAGTCTGGGGTTTCTCACCAATCCCTACGTCGGTTTGGAGGGAGTCGGGCGTCGTGTTCGGAGCGTCGGGCATCTGTATAGGTAGACAAACATGTCCTGAAGCAATGCCGAGAGTCAAGCCCTTGCGTTCCATGTCTCCGAACCACTTAGCAGCAGACTCCAGGTTGCCCAGGCGTGCGTACCCATTGATGATCGCACTATAGCTCTCCACAGTGGGTTTCTGCCTGGAGCTGGCAGGGGGGAGAGACCATAGAGAGAGAGAGAGAGAGTTGGGTCAGTCAAGCTGAAGTTGGCAAGGTTGCTTTCATCAACTCTTCACCCAAACTCACATGGGACTCACTTCGTGGCACAGCATCTTCACAGCCCACCTGTGTGCTATCTTAGTATGGAATGGAGAGCACCTCATAAATCACCTGTTTTATAACTGATTTTACAATTTATAGCTGATTTACATTCTCATTCTTCGAGTTTCCATGATTTCAGTTCAGTTGCTCGAAGGACTCCATCTCAGCGAAGTATCCTCGTGCTCGGGTCATTTCTCCCGCCCGCGCATGGGCTTCCATCAAGGTGGTATAAGCAACTGTATCCGGGATGAGGCCTCCACACCACACCACCAGTGCAATGTCACACATGCAAGTGCAGGCCTGTTCTGAAGCATAATAATCATACTATATAAGCATAAGATGTACGTCACTACCCCCACCGCTAGTGTAGGAGTGTGGTGATGCCTATTATACTTAAGAGTATAGTATAGCCGCTATATATATATATATACACATGTGTGTGTGTCTACACCTACCTGTACCAAAGGACACTACTCCATGCAAATTAATTCGACTCTTGGACTAATTTAATACACAGGCAGGCAGGGGGGCAATGCACGACTGACAGGCATTGCCCAACGAAGACGCTGTCAGTTCGTGGTGAAGCAATGCGGGACGCCGCATTGTGTACCTGCACTCATTCTCCTGTTTGAACTGTAAAGTGCTAATGTTGCAATTCCACGCTCGCTATCTGGATGGAACGTCTGATCCACAGCTGAAGAGGTTGGCCGATGAAAGCTGTCTCATCTAGATAGGCTGGGCCCCGCCCTTGTCCAACATGTTTGGGCACGTGTTGCAAGTGGAATTGCACTGGGCATGAAGGTTTTGATTTGCTTAAGCGGGTTGAATTGTAGCTTACAAGTACTTTGGATTTCAGCAAGCACCAAAACAATTTCTCTTGATATTTCCAGTTGTCAACAGCTGGCAAGTTTGTCTCCTGCTTGTTGCATTCATCCCACGTTCTTTCTTCATACCTAGTTTACCTGATTCCCATTGCTAGTGGATCACGCCTTGTGCTAGCAGCTCCTTGAACCATTCATCTGCCAAGTCTGGCTTTCCAGTTTTAGCTGCAGCGTCCAACAAAGCGCTGTACATCACCACATCTGCCTTGATGCCAGCGTCTTGGGCCGCCCTAAACCATCCCTCAGCAGATTGTAAATCCCTGTGCTTCGCTGCCACACTCACCATGATGGTGAAGGTCACGCGATCTGGCCGCAGCCCAGCCTGTGAACAGGGGGAAAATGATGAACAAACGGGTTTTGCTATGCATGCCACATGCCCAAAGGGTGTTAAGGCAATTCAAGTGCCCATTCTGATCAAAACTCTGAACTCCATTTTCGCAATAGGCAATAGCTCTTAAACAATCTTAAACATATGTTCTTTTTATCTTAAACCATCTTAAACCACTTCCAACTCTCAAATTCTACCCACTGCAGAACGACATTTTGTTGCTGGACCTCGATGGTCTTTGCAAACCAACGCTCCGCCAAGCGCAGCCCTTCACGTCCCACAGCGTTGATCATGGCATTGAAGGTGGTCAAGCGAAGCCTGGGCGTTTGACACGGCACCACCTACGGCGTCGGCTTCGGCTGCGAGGACCCCCAACATTTGCCTGGAGACCACTGAAGCCCTGGTGGTGGGACAGTGATGCGTTTCGCCGGGGTGTCTGAATCAAAGGATTCGTTGCTGGCGCTGCTGAATCTGAAACTCCAAGTTGCGGCTTCACCCCCAAAGGCCTCTCTTCGGCTGGAAGAACGGCGCCCGTGGCGGAATTGGGGAGGTCTTGCTCACTTTCCATCGGTTCTTTTGAGGGATCCCTCTTCATTGCACTGACACAACCCCTAATTACACACAACCGACCAGCTTCACCGAGCAGCTTCACCGGTGCTTGTTGCGCCCGTTCAAAGGTTTCAACGGCCAATCGATGCGAAGCCTTCACATACGGACTCTTGGCACAGGCGGTCAGCACCGCATCGTAAAAGGCGATATCTTCTGGGAGGCCATGCTTCTTCGCAAGCTTCTGCCAGCTCTGTGTCTCGTTCAGCAGCCCTTGCTTTGAGGACTCTTGAGCTAATGCAATGTATGTTCCTCACCGCGGCTGCGGCGGTGGTGGTTTGTTGATCCCAAAAACACCACGGACGAACAAACAGCTTGAGGTGAAGAACAGCGGAAGCGCTCCCGAGAAACAGCTCAACAGCTCAGCCCCCCATCCTCATGAACAAAGTGCGCAACATAAAGGAGGCAAAACACGGTGAAGACCTGCAACGACACGAAGAAAATGTCACGAATTCTATTACGAACGCATCAAATACACGGGCTGGCTGCAAGTCAAGAGGCTCAGGTCGAACTCTAAGCCCATTTGCTGGTATCCATCCTCCACGATCGATCGGGCAAACTCCAATTGACCCTTCCTGGCCGCCGCAATGGCCACAGATCCCACGGATGAGCTGCTGAGTTGCACCGAGCGTTTCTTCGCGGTGTAGTACCAGCGTGAGGCCGCGACTTCATCACCATGGTGAACTACAGTGGTCAGTAGGGTCTGCAACATGGCAGCATCCGGTTTGACTCCTTTGGTCAAAGCCACTTGAAACCAATGCTCAGTAGCATTGAGGTCATTTCGCTTGGCTGCTGCATTCATCAAGATATTGAAGGTCTTGATATTTGGAACAAGCCCTGGCAGGCGGTTTTTTCAGGCAATTCCCGGTGGCAGACGAACCAGTACCCTCTGGACCCCTCTTGATCTTCGGGCCCTTTTGTCTACGGTAACCATGCAGCAACTACGGTTGGATCTTGGTATGGCCATTGGGCAAATGATACTGTCATTGCGCGGGGGGGGAAGTAGAAGGCTTTGTTCAACAAAAGCCAACGGCACAGGGTCCTACAGCGGCTTCTGTTGGGAGGAAAGGCTTTACACCTGGCCTTGGACCACTTGGATGATTCGCCACGCCACTGAAAGATGGGTCTTTTTTCAAGCGATATATAAAGTCCGGATCGCAAGACATGACACACACACACAACATGAGTTTTGGCTTGATCATTCCCAAATTACATGACTGATCATTCGTACAACAACATGACTGATCATTCCCAGATCACATCCGATCACTTTGCTGTTTGGCTTGATCCGACCTGTTTTCCGGTCGAATGAGTCACGGGGACACGCTTGATCGCTTGACCTCCAGACCTCAAGTCGACCACTGTTACTTCGGCAGAAACACCGAACAGAGTCCATTGAAGTATCGTATTTAAATAGGTGAGACCTTCCAAATATCTCATCAAAAAAGGACAATAGACCAGTCTACCATAGTCTACCCAGCCAGGGCCAGGGGCCATCAGCAGTCTCCCCCGGATTTCAACCCATGTTGGCCTTGCAAAGCCTGGTCCACGGAAACCTCTCCGCGACCCGAAGCCGGTGCCGCTTCGTCGCCGGCGGATGCGCCGCGCCTGCATCCTCACAAGTGTGAAACCATCGCTCGGCCGAACGGGTGTCCCCCGCGCGGCTGGCCGCAGAGATCAACGTGTTGAAGGTCACCACATTGGGGCGTCCACCACGGTCCTTTGTTCGCAAATGATTGTCAAATCCAAGATCGAAACTCTGAGCTTCGATGCGTTTTCTGGAGTTAGGGTTCTCCGGTTTTTCTCGATGCGTTTTCGACCTAAACGAAGTGTTTAGGGTTCATCTCTCCAAGGTTTACTGCATGAACCGTCATGAAGCTGGCAAAGAACCAAGCCTCAGGCAGGGGATCATGTGGCATGTAGGGTGTCTCTATACTACAAAATCTGAAAATGTTGCAAACAAAACAAACTCGTCACCATCATCCGTCACAGTAGCATGAAGTGACCCAGATTTGTACCAGTGTTTTCAAGCACCAAAATACGCTGGTAATGCTGTATGAAAAAGCAACTGATTCCCAACCTTGCTGTGGTTCCTTATCATTCCAATCGAAGAAACTGTCCAGCGAGGTTTCAGGCACAATCTAGGTTTGCGGTTCCAATGTACAGTGTCAAGCTACCATACAAGTTGATCACTCCAGAAAGCCTGAAGAAAACAAACAACTAGCCCCATTTGGGCGTCGACTTTCACAACACTTGGCCATCCAATCAGCGTGTTGAGCGCCGCGAATTCAGATCAGCATCCACCGATTCTCGATACCAATACTCTGCTGCGGAGTGATTTCCCTTTCGCGCGGCAGCGTCCATGACCGCCGTGAAGATTTGGATGTCGAGCTGGAGTCCCTCCGCGTCAGCTTGTCTCAGCCAGGATTCAGCGCCCGAAAGGTCCCCCGCGCGGGCAAAGCCTCCTTGGCAGGTTCGAGGCAGGTTCGAAAAGAAAGGACACCGCCATGGTCATGAGAAAGGTCATTGGATGGTCATCAAAAAGTTCCAAAGTCGACATAAAGGAGAACGGGTCAAGGCTGATCACGCAGGGCGACCCAGTCCACAAACGACCGGGGGTCCCAGTGGACAGTAGCGGCAGGCAAGTTGGGCTGATCACACAGGGCGACCAGTTTGGCAACTTCTGGGGAACAAGCAAACCACAAAGGGCTTTTGAAGCAAGAGCAAGCAGGGTATGCTTGAGAAAGGCTAGGTGGCTAGGCTCAGGATGGCTCAGTGTCATTGTCTTTCGGGGTCGTCATCACAATGCCTTCTCTGGAGCCACCCGTTGGCACGAGAGAGGAGGGTTGAGCACTCCGAAGCTGGGCTGAAGAGCCTTGCCGTGGTGCCGCATGCGGTGGTCCGGGCATGCCGCGCATGCCGCAGAAAACAGCTCTTTATAAGTGCAAACATTGTGGTGGGAGCAAGACTGACGCAAGGACATGCCACAGCCAAGACAAGACGCCTCAGGACTGCAGCATCACAGCGTGTTCAGTCCAAACATTGTGGTGGGAGCCAGCACCAGTCTAGATCCCCCAATATCAGAGCCATGAGAATGGAGCATGCCCAGCAACAGGCTGACGCCCGGAAGACATCCGCATAGAAAACACAGGGCGGCAGGGACACACCAAGCCAGACAAGCTTGCGAGACAAGTGTGGCAAACACGACGCAAATCACGCAGTGGTGGTAGTTTTCGGGAGTCAGCCACCCAGTCGTTGAGAAGTAAGAAGCTCAAAATCACCCTGCGCATCCCTGCGCTCTGCAGGGATAAACATGTCTACATGGTTGTCTAAGAACTAAAGAACATCAAAGTCATCACGGCTAGAACTGAACTTGAGTACTCACAGGCCGTCGAACAGTTTTTCAGACGGCCAAAATTCCAGACAAAGGATGAAAAGGGTGCAACGAGTTTTGTCATTTTGGGCCAGGCGCTAATCAAGCTCGTATACGTGATGAGGCTTGCTTGAAGATTCTCCTTTCGGGCCTGAAAGTACCAGTACTCACCCGCTTCGGGCAGTCGTGCCTCTGCCGCTGCCTTGATGAGGATATTGTAGGATGCCATCCTTCGTGACAGCATTGATCAAGACTTGCAGATTCAAAACAGTGAGAACGAATGCCGTGCAATGCCATGAAAAACATCCCTCACCTTTGCCGAGAAAAACCTGGGAGAAACCGCATAAAAACACAACTGCAGATGCGGAGGGTGCGAAGAAGAAAAACACGTTCACCACCCTGAGAGTTCACCTTTTGCAGTTCAGCATCTCATGTTGAATTCCGCTGTCTTTCGCATACCTCGCAGGTCGCAGCGATTTAGCAAGTGTTGGACAGCAAACGGTGTTCCATTGGAGGAAGAACAAGAAAAACACAGGTATGCATACACCTTGCCCTAGAAGTCCAGTTCGACTATATCTTGCTGGAAGGAGTTGTTGTTCCTTTTTTTCTGCACCAGGTTTGAACGCTCCAATGGTTTTTTTTGAACTAGATCCGACCTTCTTTCCCAAGCTACTTGAAGAAGGCCTCGGCCATGGTGAGATTTCCTTCACACGCTGCAGCATCCATCAATGCCACCACCACCTGGAGCCCCAAAGCCACACGTTCTTCCTCTGCCCTTCGGAGCCACCTGTGTGCACCGCACCGGGGAAAACGGGCACCGAAACGAACATCGAAGAGAATGCGAACTGATCTGGTTGATCTATGTTGATCTGTATATCGTGTAGAATACAACCGGCAGATCAGTTTTATAGGGCATTCCAAAAGAAGCTAGCCAATGTACATGTAACCCAGGCAATGTAGGCCGGTTCACACAAATCAAGATGCCCCCGGCGAGATTCCCGGGATATCCGTTTGACGTCTCCACTCGATGAGGAGGGAGTGGAGTTCGTTCCTTCTTCGGGTTTTCTCTTGATCTGCCGATAAGCTTCAGTCTTAACATAGGACCAAATCTCGAAAGCAGAATCAACCTTGGTAAATGAAAAGATAGATGGTGGGCAACAGTTTGGAGCCCCTATCTCCCCAAACGCAACGAACCATGGCTCAAATCTGGACTCTCCCAAATTCCCGAACACAAAATCCTACCCATGTCCACATCTTCTTACATCTTCTTACCATTGTTTTCCCCTTCTGCCTTCTTCTTAGGAAACCCACCCATTTAAACTGCCTTGTAAGGTCCGAGGTGGGTGATCTGATCCGCTGTGTTTTGTTATGTCAAAAAAACGAACACGTCCATGTCCTCTCTCATCCCAACCACGTCCATGTCCTCTCTCATCCCAACCAAAAAGCCCACAAACACCACCTGCGCCACGAACGCCACCACGCCGAACCACGCCGAACACCACGCCGCCTCCCGCGTCGAACGCCGCACCTGTCGGCCGCGTGGAAGTCGCGCTGCGCCGCCGCGGCCCGCAGCACCGACTCGTAGACGCTGACGTTCGACGGATCGTTCGACGGAGACAAAAGCGACGCGAAGGCTTCCACCAAAGGCAGTTGGTTTTCGTCCACGGCCTGCGAGGCTGCCGGGCTGCCACGTGTTTCTAGATGCATATATGGCATATATATATGTTGGTGTTGGGACATGGTCGTGTTCCCTTGGTAACAAGCTGCAATTCAACGAACCTTCAACGCTGAAAACACTTCCTTTTTCGCGGTGACCTCTGGCCTTGTCTGGACCAGTTAAGGTCTTGATGAGGTGTTCACACCTCATGGAAAAGGGCTGCGGCGTTCACAGCACCTCAAACAAAAGCGTGTCATCCTTGCACAGGGGCCATGCATCAACACTCCCCCTGGCTTTGGCGAAGACACTTCGATGCCCTTGCCCCCACCATACGAGTACTCCAGGCACTAGGCCCTTCTTCCAGCATGTATGGTGGTGACGGGCCAACCGTCAGCTCAAGCCCTTTCTTCTCGCGGCCAACCAGGCCCGGTGGCAGCAGCGCAAAACCAACAATGCCCATGCATTGGTTGAGGACAGCTCAGCTGCAGGATGCCAACCCCAGACCAAGATGGCCTAGTCTTCCTTTCTTTTATCTTTTGTGGTCTTTGACCTCATCAAAACCGCAATGCCAGCAGGCATTCATTCCATCTTCAAGGCCAAAATGGCCATAGGCAGGCTGCCGTGCACCCTCGACACCCCCCTTTTTTCTTTCTTTCATCCTTTCTTCACATGTTGAGCTCCCGTTCCCGGAGCTCTTGCAGGCATCGAACACATGGGGCATACTTCTTTTCGGCTCCAGTTGAACATGCCGGTGGTCTGGCTGCATCCACATGGTAGATCTCGCCCCATCCACGAGACCAAAGGTGTTCACCTCTTCGGACATGGGCCATGTCGATGGTGAAGGCGCAACGATGGCATGGAGGTGAGGTCCGGAGCACGGATGAGGTGAGCGTAGGGCAAGAAGTGAAAATGTGGTACTTCTGCCCATACTTGATGATGTAAACACCCATCCCTTGGTACCTCCGGCCTCCATCCCCAATTGGCGGTTCGCCATCACGCTGAAATGCCCTGGGGCATGCCTTTGCAGCCGCTTCTGAAGGACCTGTCGGTCTCGGTTGAGGTGGTGTTGGATCCCATGCTTCATCGGCCATCATATCACGGTAATCCCTCTCTGTAGGGTGGTAGAGAGTCTCATCCTCATTGGCCGGAGACTCTTGTGGTGGAACATCGGGTGGTACTTCATGATCGCCGGCAGGAATCTCCTGCTCAGGCTCTTCTTGGATGCCAGTGAGCGTGACATCCGATTGAGGCTGGGAGGTTTGTCCAGATGAACTCGAGGTCGGAGGTATGCCAGCCTGTGCCCTCTCTTCGGGAGTGAGAGAGGAAAGCCATCGCAGCAACCATTCACGGTTCTGCAATCCAAACTGGCTTCTCTCTTCAGCTGTCATGGGGCGCGCTGGACCATACGCCCAATCAACAGGTTCACCATCTTGAGGATCTCCTTTGCCCTGCCCTTTTCCTTTTCTCTTTCCTTTTGACCTGGCACTAGGCCTATTGACTTCCCGGCCTTGCCAGTCAACGGTGATGGAACTTCCCTGGGATTCCGACGTGGAACTACCAGGTGGCCCAAGTGCCGGGGGCTCATATTGTTGACCAGCAGCAGCGTCACCATCATTGATAGCTGGTGCCAGCAACCAAGCACAGAAGCGCCTGAAAAGCAGGGTGGCCAAGATGACAAGGATGGTGTACAGCATCATGAACATTTGAAGCGGCTCAGAACCAGCTTGGTCAGAGGGATTCTCATCTTCATCACTCTGATTTCCTTGGGCCCTTGATTTGGCGATGAGTGCCATAAGCACCGCCAGCTGCAACTGTCGGCCGCTGTAGTTCATCATCTTTTGCATTCCTTCATCTTCCTTTCTTCTTTCTTCGCTTACTGCCTCTGGGCCATCCTCCTTTTCTTCCTTTTCTTCACTTGTCGCCCCTGGGCCATCCTCCTTTTCTTTTCTTTCTTCACTTGTCGCCCCTGGGCCATCCTCCTTTTCTTTTCTTTCTTCGTCCACCTTCTTCTGCAGGACCATGGACATCAATTCTTTCAGCTCCATAGTGCGCTGACTCGAAAGGGGCTTCGTGCCAAGGTCGGCAATCATGATGGCGCCAGGCATGTGTCTCACTCGCCAGTCGAGGTTGGTGATTCTCCAACGAACATGTTGTGCCCTCAGCCTCAAATGTCTGGTGCGCCAGTTGGCATGGCCATCGGAGAAGAACCCAGTGGCCGCAAGGTTGTCGACAAAGAGGGTCTTCACGTAGGGTTCCTCATGCTCTTGGATCATGCTATCAACTGCATCACCAGTTTGGAGCCCTTCGATGGCTTCCAGCAACTCCGACTCGGCAGTGGACAAGGCCGGAAATGGTTGGCGCCCGCTTTTCCAAAACATCAGCGCTCCATTCCACAAAACCATCACAGCGCCATGGGATGCCTGGGTTTCTGGCGAGGCTGCAAAGCTTGAGTCCGTGTAGACCTCCAATGACTTTGGTCCTCCATCCCATCCTTCTCCCTTTCCAGGAGGAAACTCAAGTCCTTCATTGGGAGTTGACTTCAAGTACTTCCAGACTTGGGTGGCTTGTTCAATCACCCAGGATGGATGTGGCAAGATTTCTTGTGCACATCGACTCGTAGCGAATGCTACATCGGGTCTTGTACGAGTTGACAACCACATCAGTTCGCCAACGAGCTTCTGGGCTGCATTGACCAACCCTGGAGTAGGCTCTTCTGGCATCGGAGCAGCATCCTTGGACATAGGGACCTTCATGTTCTTTGTATCTGGAATCCCTTCTTTGTCCTTGATGTAGTCTTCTTGCGATGCCCGATATCCTCCTTCGACTGTTTTGGTGATCTCCATGCCCAGGAACTTGACCTTCTCCTTTCCCACTTCTTCAGGTGTGGAGGTCTCCCATTGGGCCTGTAGAACTTGGATCACCTGGTCGACGGTCTTTTCATCACTTGTAACCATCAGGTCATCAACGTAGACCAATAGGAATCCAACCATCTTTTCTTCACATTCTTCATCTTCACCATCACCGAGCATGATGCTCCACAGATTCGGCTCAGCTTCGGCCTGGACAAAGCGATGTCCTTGTGGTGAGGTCAACTTCCTCAGCACCTGGTCACGGTAGACCCCCGCACAGCGCGGAGACTGGCGGAGACCGTACATAGCCTTTTGAGCCAGGTAGTAGTCCTTGGGCCCCACATGGCCCGTCTTCAGAAGAAGGGATGGTGGCTTCAATACCACCATGGTCGGCTCCTGACCTTCAGCTTCGATGTCCAGCGGCGCATTGAGGAAGGCTGTTCGAATGTCCAGCACTGATGCCTTCCAGCTCTCTTCAGCTGATCGCTTCAGGACGTAGCGAAGGCAAACGGCGTCCGCACCTGAGGCGTATAGGCATTGATCCTTCTGTTCCGCTGATGCTGGGTCAACGAAGTTGCCGCAAGCTACCAGTCTGATCTTTCTTCTTGGACCAGGCTTCAAGGTGATCACTACCTTCGAGGGCAGCACCTCCAACTTTCTGCCCCACTTTTCTTGAAGGGACTTGAACTCATCTTCATCGATCCAGCGGAGAGCCTTTTTCTCCTCAAACAACTGGTGAAGCTCTTTCCGGATTGCTTCGTCCCATTGTGGAGCTTCACGAAGGAGTTCTTTTGGGGAGACCACCCTGGTTCGAAGAACTGGTTCCTCCTCCTTGGGCATCGCGCTCTTAACCTTCTTCAGCTCCTCATAGACGACGTCCATAACTTTCATTTCATCCTTGAGCATGATCACACTTTCCTCCAGGACAATGTTGGAGATTCTCTCCAGGTGTCGTTCTCTTTCCTCCTCAACCACTTCATATTGATCTTCTTCCAACTTCATACTTCTAGCTCCCACTTTTCCTCGGATCCTTCTTCTGATTTCATAGGGACCCTCAGCCTCCTCAGCGGCCTTTGTGACAGCCATCCAAGTTGATTGGCTCGGCTCAGGTTCCTGGGTCTTCATGATGAAGTACGGGACGATCGCCGTGGAGCCATTGTCTCTCAACACCAGGTGACCATGAGCATCGGGTCTTGGAGCGAGGTAGCGAACCTTCTCATGGGTTGCCTCCAATTCTTTTGTCTTCCAAAATCTTCTTTTGACCAGGAGCTCATGACCAAATGGCGGAACATCCCCCAGATCAAGATCGGCCATGCGTCTTCGCTCCCGCTCGTGGACATAGTGGCATGCTTGAGGCCATCGACCCGCCGGCATACCAGCCATGCCAAGAGCCCGACGGATGTGGGACTTCACTGTTTGGATCGCCCTTTCCGCACGCCCGTTGGACTGAGAAGAGACTCCCGCCGTTGTAGTGCGGTGGATGTCCCTTGAGCGACACCACTGGGTGAGGGATCTTCCTCTAAATTCTCCCCCGAGATCAGTGTGAAGCCTCGCCACGTAGTAGCCCATCACCCTGAGCTGGATGTACATTTGCTGGATCGTGGACAGCACCGTCTTCTGATCCTTTGAGGCCATCGGAATGGCGAGTCTGAAGGTGATCAGATCGGGGTTCTCTTTTTCTTCACCCACTTCAACTTCCTTCATCTCTTCACCTTGTTCGCCTTCTTCTGCCCCACCTTCTTCTTCATCACACCTTTCATTTCCTTCCTCCTCATCTTCTTCTTCAAGCAGCACTTCATCAGAGTCAGCCAGTTCATCATCAGGTACTGGCGGATGCTGTTCCTGAGGAAGAAGCCAGGTGTAGGTGCCAACGAGGATGTACTTCATCAAGTCCTTACCATCTTTGGCGACAGGATATGGACCAGCAGTGTCCAGTGACAACGTCGCTGTGGGTGGGTAACCTTTCGATGCGGTCGGGACTTAGCACTTTGCTCCTGGCAGATTCGACAATCTCTTCTAAAGGGCACGTGACCATTTTGACAGTGCTGCTCCCACGTCATCCTTTTTAGCTTCGGTTCCTCCTCCACAATTCCATTGATGTGGAGAGCGCAGGCTTCAGCGACGGAACGACATAGTCCCGGAACCCAGCGAGCAAGTGAGGACGATGGAACCTTCTGACCTTCTCCTCTGCTCTTCGATCCAGGGTTTCTTCCTTTTGGTAAGCGAAGCTCCACATTGGCAGCCAGAGTTGTAGGCTTCACCGGAGCATCCTCCTTCCAGGGTTCATAATCTCCCTGGTTCAAGTGGTGGACTTGTAGATGAGCGGCACTCTGAAGCTTCTTCCATGGCTTCGTACTCCAGAAGGAGACACACGAGGGCATGTAGTCCTTAGGATCGGAAGGCTGCTCTAACAGAAACATCACCTCCTCTCTTTTCTTCTTTTCTTCATCTTCCTCTGTTGAGTCCTTCAACTTGGCAGCCATGTCCGCGACCAGGAAGAGAAAGATCTGACGCCACATCAGGACATCGTCTTCTTGACACATAGCCATCTCTTCAGGGCTGTAGGCACTGATGCCCCATGGCTCCTCCCAGGATCTTACAGGTCTTGGACCACCAGGATAGTGTCGCAAAACTGATCGGGTACGACAGTTGGGTCCTCCAATCACCGCCGCCAAATCCCCATCCAACGCCAAACGAAGCAGGCCCTTGTAGGCCTTCGAATCCAGGGATGCCATATCGTGATCATCACCCCTCTGTAGGTCCACCTCCAAGGTACGGCTTCCCAAGCCATGCTCTTCCATAGCCTTTTGCAGAGTGAATCCTTCACGTTTTCCAGCATATAGATGCAGGATCACCGAACCAGCTGCCTTCAACCGCTTTCGTTGATGTCGGTTGGCAGGGAGGTCCTTCCACTCCCCCGGTTGTTGGACCAGGGCCTTCTTGACATGTTCGGGAAGTTCTGCCAAAGCTGGATGGCCTTCAACCAGCGACTTCATCCACTCCACCTCCCGTTCAGGGTGTACTTCACCCACCAAGCGAGCTTGCTTTACCTCTTGGGCACGATCCTCATACTCCTGGATGAGCTCGAGGGCCAGCTGCTTGGGGATCTGTGGACACCCCGCTTGGATGCTGATCGGCAGAGATCCTTTTGTGGGATGGGCAACTTTCATGCCATGTTTCTTCCGTGAAATCTTGCATCCTCCTCCAGCCAGCATTCCAAGGGGTACTATTGGTTCCACTTGTAGATTTGTTGAAACCATCACCCCCGACTCAGTCATTAACAGAGGTGTGGTGCGGCCATCAGCCAGGGACACAGAGACCTTCTTGAACTTCTCGAGGCTGTCCGTAGACGCAAGAGGCCTCAGGGGATGCGTAGCACCAGAGTCCAACAGTCCCCATTCTTCTTCTTGCAAAGACCCCATCTTCGCTTCGCGAACGCGGGTCAGCTTCAGGGTTTTGATGCTTTTCTTGATCTCATCGAGCTGCTGATGCAATCTGCTCAGCTTGGCTTCCGAAGCTTCCTTGTCCTTCATCGCCTTGAGCATCTTGTTTGCCTCAGCGAGAAGTTCATCCATCTTTTCATCATCTTGACCTCCACTTCCTTTTCCTCCTTCCTCGCCTTTTGGATCCTTCTCTTCTTCTTTCTCTTTCTTAACCTTTGGCGGCGAGTTGGGAGCAGTTCCACCTGAGTTCTCCTTCGTAGGGCAGGTCGGAGCTAGGTGTTTCGTGGAGCCACATAGGTAACACCTTTTCTGTTCATCCTTTTGGTCATGCGACCATTTGCAATCACGGCCACGACGACATCCGGCCTCGCTGAGGAAGAACTTGCACGGCAACTTGACTTCCATCTCCTTCAGCTTGCCTTCACCCCCTTTGGCCTTTCTGTTGATCTCCTCCATCTTCTTTACTTTACTTTCCTCCTTCTTCGTAGTTGCACCACTTCGCTTCTCAGCCAAGGAGAGCTGTTCGATCTCGGCAATGAGATGGGTTGCGAACTGGCTGACCGAGAGCGCATTGGGATTGGTGTCAACTTGGAGGGCATTCCGAGCAAGAGACACCCGGAACCGTAGGCTTTCATTGCCATCCAAAACTCGCTTCGTCAAGCGATTCAGACCCTTGACCAGAATGGACGGGTCGGGTTCGGTGGCTCCAATCTCCTGAGCCCTTGCACGCCAGCGAAGCCATCGACGGAGGCCAACCACCGTGTCGTGCAGATTTCCTGGTTCCGTTGGATCTTCAAGGTTCCGCAGGAGCATTTGTTTCTCGCTTATGCCACCAGGACAGTAGGTGACGTGAAGATGGGCGAGGATGGCGAACACTGACAACCTTTTTGTAGCCACCAGTTCATCTTTCTGAACTTCTGGAATTGCCTTCAGCAACAGGGTGGCCATTCGCCGTTCGAGCTTCGCCCATTTCGGAACACTGAGTGATGATGGAGGCACAGGCTCATGCTTGACCCGTTCCAAAGGAGCCATTGCTTGGTGGTCCTGGTACCACTTCTCAACCTCAGTCATCATTCGATCCCACCAGATGTCAGAGGTGGTCGTCAGGTCAGCCACCACAGGCTGAACAAGGAGCAGCCAATCACCAAGCTGCAGCTGCGAGGTGGAACCATGTAGAGGATGTAGAACAGGTAGTTCAGCCACCTGCCGGACAATCTCCACCCCCTTCACCGTTCCTTGAGCTTCTTGTCCCTCAGAGATCTGTCGTTGGAGGGACTTCATACTTTCCACCAAAAGTGTCATCACTTCCATCTGTTGAACTTCAGGGGACAATTTGGCTCCCCCGGTTGTAGGTCTAGGCCCCTTCATTTCCCCTTTTCCATAGGATGGACTTCGGCCCTTTCTCTGTTGTTCTTTGGAGCGGGACCTGGAACCTTTGACCCCATAGCGAGCCGGGTAGGTCGACCACGGTGTGCGTCCTCGGGCATGTAGGTCGTCGGCTCCTGGAATCCCATTCGGTCCCTCTTCATCAGGGGTGTTGAAGTTGGAGGCACTTCTTGGCCTTTCCATTTCTTCTCTTTCCTTTTTCTTCTTTTCCTCAACCTCCAACCTCTTTCGGTCTTCCCCCTCAATCCTCCATTCATAGAGCTCTTGCTGGAGGCGATCATTTTCACGTTGTTGGGCCTGGCAAAGGTCAGTGAGCCGTTGCACATCCTGTGAAATCTGCCAGCGCCACATGATCTCTTCCTCTTGGTCTTCCCGTTCTCGATCGCGACGGGTCCTTCGAGGATCGTTGGAGCTCTCCTCACATCTTCTCAGCTCCTCACTTTCTTCTTCTTCCATCTCCACCACCCTTCTATACCCTTCTTTCTTACCTCCTTTCTTTCCTTCCCTTCTTTCTTCTTCTTCTTCCAGGAAGGCAGGGCGAGACACCTGAGTAGGCCGATCATCACCTGAAGAGGACGGCATCAAACCTGGGCCAAAGAGCTGGGGAGCAAGTCGAGCAGAGGCCTTAGCTTCTCTGATCTGTTCCTGAGTGAACAGGGGCTGCATGACTTGCGGTGCTGGTGGTGCCAAGGGAGCTAGAATGGCAGGCTTTCCCTTTGGAGCTTCAACCACACTTTCTTTTGACCCACCACTCTTAAACACCTCCAATTCAGTCTTCCCTGTTCCAGTATTCCCCAGCCCTGTCGTCGAACGGGCCGGGGTGCTAAACTCTTTCTTTTCATCTTCATCTTTCTTTCCATCACCTTCCAAAGCTTCAGCCCTGGCCACCAACTCGTCGCTTCGAGGCTCTTCCGGAGGCGGCATCAAGGCCAGGCGGCCATCATCATCATGCTCCATGGTTCGTCGCCGGCGGAGCATGGAGGGGTGAGGTAAAGAAAGTTCTGACGTTGGGCTCATAACCTGTTGGTGTTGGGACATGGTCGTGTTCCCTTGGTAACAAGCTGCAATTCAACGAACCTTCAACGCTGAAAACACTTCCTTTTTCGCGGTGACCTCTGGCCTTGTCTGGACCAGTTAAGGTCTTGATGAGGTGTTCACACCTCATGGAAAAGGGCTGCGGCGTTCACAGCACCTCAAACAAAAGCGTGTCATCCTTGCACAGGGGCCATGCATCAACAATATAATATATATATATATGTTGATGTTGTCAACAATACTGTAAACTTATTTATGTTTGCTTAAAATGTGTTTAATTGTTTAAATGTGTGATTCGGGATGGAACGATGATGAACCCAAGAACCCTCCCAAAATGCCCAACATGTTTCTTGTTGTGGGAGAAATGCCCCATGCTTCGTGTGACTCGTATCTTCAAACCATGTTGGTCTCTCAAACACCCCATGTATTGAGTGAGGCACATGTCTTGTGTTTTCCTTTGGCCATCTCAAAAGGATCCGACCAATCAATTTACACCAGGACAAAAAACAAGTTTCTGCTACGTACCACGACTGGCATGCTCATCATGGTGATAAGCACCAACACCAACACTTGGGAGCCGCTTGGACCACTCCTTCCACACAACTGAATGCATCAACCTCATATCTTCTCTCCGTGCACCTCCCCCAAATGCCCAACTGCGCCTGGCGCCTTGACCCCCAAACCAGAGGCCATCACTAGAGCACTCATCAGCTCATTCTCGCGCGCGCGCGTGCGCGCGCCTGGGAAAGCAGCGAGGCTAGCAGGGACTGGTCAAGTTGGGTTCCCAACTGGGACGCTTTGGTCCCGTACTTCGCAGCTGCCGCCAGGTCGGACTTGGAGGCCGCCAGGCAAAGGAAGCGGTAAATGTCTCCTCGGTGTGAAAACAAAACGTAAGGGCGCCCGGCGTGGAAGGCGGGCTTTGTCTGTGACTCTTGTGAGGAAGTTTCAATGCAATCAGTCTTATCCAATTTGTTCATTGAACTGGAAGAAGCAATGGACAAGGGAAAGGGACGAAAGGGATTGGAATTTCATGAGATGGAATATGATGGAATCGACATGACAATTAATTCAGGATATCTCTTTATAGATCCAAATAGAATACAGACCTGAGATCCAAATAGACTTTGTGGGAGGATGTTTTAACATGTGTTAACCAAAGACCCAGTGTCCATCGGGTTCGACTTGGGCTCGCTTGGCATTCTGAAGCCATCGCTCCGCAGCCCGGAGGTCCCCTCGAGTGGCGGCCTCTTGGATGAATTTGCCGTAGAACTTCAGGTCGGGCTCAAATCCTCCACGAAACAGCGAAGCAACCGGAGCAAGGCGATGGTGCGATGGTGTAGGTGTTCATTTCTGTGGTTAGGCATTTTGAACCGGTGGTTTTGTGTGTTTTTCATGGTTCAAATCCTCTGGGAGCGGCCCAGTGGGCACGCGGGAGATGCGCGGGAGAAACGGAGTCTCTGCGTTGTTTTTTTTTGAGAAAAGGACAGATTCGCATGGCATGTGTTGCTCGGTTCGTTGCCGTTTTGGAGGAATGGGGGAGGCAAGGGTGGTTCTTCGGGTCCGTGGGTCAAGGACTTGGAACAATATTGACTGCAAAAGGGCCATCAAAACATTGCCAAAACGCTTTACAATTTAAGGCCCACACTGCTCGCGCAGCATTTCGAACACTGCTCCAGCTCTTTTCTGAAAACTTTCCCCCCAACTTCCCAAACCTCCCCAACCACCATCCATCGGACCCGTCCTGCTACGTTTAATTCCAGAAACCAACGCGGCAAACCGTCGTCCTGAGGCGACAAGGACGACCAACGTCCCGTCTGGCCTCGTTTTGGGGGGGAGAAGGTCGGTCATAGCGTTTGGGGTCCAACACAACCCCCGGACCGGACCGACAGAAAAACCAGATCCATCCTGAGTCTCACTGTCTCGGTTCTTCCTTTTTTTTTCGCTGAACGAGGAAAGGGTGAATCAAAAGAAAAGAGAACCAACGAGCAGCACGGCCCACCGGCCAACTGCCGCCCAGCCCTGGGTCTGCCCAGCTTGTAAGCCATGCTTCGGGCCCTTCAGCGGCCTTACCACCTTCTTCCCAGTCTCCTGCTTCGGAGGGATCGTGGATCGGTCTGGGAGTCCTGGGCACGATGGTGCTCGCGCGCGCGCGCGATTGCGCGCGCGAAGGCATCCGATTGAGGAGGCGTGAGGCTTCTGGTTTTGCCTTTTAGACCCAAAATTAAATACATATAATTAAGATCTTCACACCTACCTGATATACCTTCACCTCATCTTGAAGCAGTTCCAACAATAATATAACCGCAATAAATCATACCTTATAATTAAGATCTTCACACCTTCACCGCATCTTGGTTCACCTCATCTTGATTCCAACATGTTCCAACTCTCAATATAACTTCTTCCCAAGCATCGGCAAGTTGATCTTATCATCGAACTGGACGGCACGTGCCGTCCGTGACCACGTCGAGTGAAGTCGCCCACTTACAAAGCCGACGCCCAACATGCGCAGTGCGACCCAGACGAACAGGGCAGCCACAGCGGCTGAAGGCCGAGGCAAACGCCGCCGTCGCAGTGTGGGGCTCCATCTCCACACGCAGACCATGCTTCCATACCGGAACCATCTGACTATAGAGAGAAATTCTTAGAGAAAGTGAGTTGAACTTGTTCGTGAACACCTAGCTAGCCATAACAAGAAAAAGGCTTTCTTTGCATCAAGGATCATGAGACTGATGAGACTGTAGCTGTCCATCGCAATCCTGTCGAATCCGTGGAACTGAGCCCCCAAAAACGAAGTCAAGTTCCCAAGTTTTGAAGCATTTTTCCACCTTTTTCCGGTCAAAACCCTTCGGTTGCTCCGCCTTTTGGGGCGGACCCAACCTGCCCGAACGCTGCGGTGCCGACCAGTGCGGCGATGTCGGTTCCGACCGACAGCGTTCCTACGACCCGCGAGCGAATGGAATCACCAAGGCTTTTTGGACTCTTTTCACATGGGACTCCCGGACAACTAGAGCAAAAGCACGTGTTATGACATGTGATAAACTCTATTCGATACAAATCTGGCAATCCAGGGGGGTCAAATCCAGAGTGTTCTACCCAAACCTTTGGGTCATCTACCTAGTTCACCTTCGTCCACCTCTTCGCCGGTGTCGAACTCCGAATTTTCATGGTCCGGCGAACCGTAGGGTTCAACATCTGACGTTGCCGATCTTCAGCTTGCCAGAATTCGAGCAACACTTTAGACTGCTCCACCATGCAGGAGGCAGGCAACTTGAGGCTCATAACAACAAACCGACCAGCAGCACCTTCAAAGTGACCGTCCTTGAGATCCTAGAATGATGTCACTTAGTCCCTAAAGAGGTCACTTCGAGACTCCAAAGAGGTCACTTTGAAGGTCCAGGCAGCTGTGAAAAAAAAAAACTCTCCAGATCAACGAAGCGACATGCCATGCTGCCATACCCTGGTGTCTGCCTCCACTTCCAGCGCCTTCGCAAGCCTCTGTACAGGCTCTGTACTCCTCTCCTACTGGTACAAATTGAAAAGTGGCCTGTCCACAGCAAACTGCGGTCACACTGTTGGCAACTTGGCGTCAATGCCCTTCACCACCCGGCAAGCTCTCCCGCATGTGCCTCAAAAGTGAAGGCAGAATAAATCATCTTAATAGGTTGCGACCGTAGTTCTCGTTAAACCAATGGGCCAAGAAAGATTGAATCACCCATCCTGGCCGGTGCCTTCTTTGACAAAGGGTGATCTCATGCTGACTGACAGGTCTTGAACCGGTTTTTCACCGCTGGCGTCTGGCGTTAGACATGTCTTCCGTTCGGTGTCTTTCGCGCCGGTATCGCCATTCGTCGGATCAAGCGACGAGATGGCCCGCTGGAGGAGGTGCTCCCAGGCTGCCCATCACACCGGCAATGCCAGCGCCCTGGCGGCACCCGGAAGGAAACAAGGCCGGCTGGCGTTTGGAGACGATCGGATCGGGTACATGGCGATCGTCGTGGAGAGCGTTAGTCACGAAGAAGGTTGAATTAAGAAGCTTGAAAGCAATCCAAACCATGAAGTTGCTGCCTTGCAGCTCTTGGTTCGTTTGGCGAAGACATGACCAAGTTTGGGGTCAACACTTGCTGAGAGAGGAAAGAGCGCTTCCCAAATCAGGTGACTCACAAATAAACGTCAAGAAAAAACCACGCAAAAACTGGTTGACACCGTTGCCTAATAAGGAAACAACAAAACGTTACATCAACTTACTTCACGTCTTCAGGAATGCTGCACGTCTTCCCCCCCGCACGGCTTTTTCTTCCAAAAGCCCACCGAACAAACGCCACCGCCACCGCCAGGTGCCCCGGCCGGCGCGGCTCCACCCTGGCGGTCCGCCGAGCGAGCTCGACCGCCACGGTCCGTCTGCGGGGGTTGCGTGAGGCTCCGAGGGGGGGAAGGCGGTGATCGGGAGAAGTCTTCTTTTCGATGGGGTGAAACGGGAAACCGTGTCCACCAGAGCACCAGAGTTCCCAACAAAAAGAGAACGAAATAAAGACGGAAGAGAACACCCCTCTCCAACTGCTCTCAAACCATAGTAATCATTGATTACTTTTGATGTAACATCGACATTCAAGACCCAAGCTTCCAACCATCTCCCAGGCTCTCAGAAGGTGGCAAAACATCCACTTTGTCCACCGAATTCTCTACCACCCATATACCTCTCCTCTATCGCCCATATCTCCTCCTTCGAGACGTCAGTACCCGATCGTCAGACTCGGCGGTCCGCCTGAGAGGGCACCACGGAGACGGGTTGCCAATAGCCTCGAATCACCGAAGGGTCATGCCTCAGGCGCGCCGCACGCGCCGCGACCCGGGGCCGCTCGCTCTGCGCGCGGCTCCGAGAGGTTGGAGGTTGGAGGTTGGGAGGTTCGAGCCGAGGGGAGAAGTGGAGCGAAAGAGGAACAAGACGTGTAATGTCTTGTTGGACTAGCTAGAGTCTGGAGCCATTGGCTATAGCTACCTATGAAGAACTGTAGAGTTCTTGTTGGCTCACAGAGGCTCGTGCGACTCTTTACCAAGCCCAGTCCGTGGTTGGCAGATGCGGCAGATGCGGGCTCGGGTCTAGCGTCTTTGGGTTTGGGTCTCTGTGCTGCTCAGTCTGCGGCAGAGCATCTGACCAGCCTGGTGCTCCAAAAACCGATTCTGAATGCTGTTTGGAGGACGCCGACGATCCTCATTCTGTGAGGGCAGCACAGAGACGCAGCCACAACAATGTGGATCCTTTCAGTGGTTTCAGATCGTTTCAGAGTAGATAGCACATGATGGCACAGACCCCAAGATGCCCTATCTTGATGGGGGTCCATATAAACCACCTAACTTGGGGATTGTGCCATCTGCTCTGAAGCCACTGTACTTCCACAAGGAGAGGCCAGGGCGGCTGGGTGAACGCACGGCAGCCGATTTGTCCACCTGCGAAAGTGTAGATTTTGTTTCAAATATGTTTTCTATTGTTTTCCCTCACATGGCTGAAAAAACGTGGCCGCTCATGTACCACAGGCTGTGAATCTAGGACCACAGGCTGTGAATCTAGGACAAGGTTGCTGCTCGAATGTGTGAAGCCATCCCAGCCGATGCCATCCCAGTTCTTCCAGCATGTCCGACATCCCACATTGCCTCCATGGTCACCACTCAAACAGAAACAGAACGAACATCCAAACACTTCACGAAACTCTCCCATCTCTCCCTTCAAATCAAACTCCGAATAAAAATCCAAAAAAGACCAGAGACCTCGTCTTCACTGACGAGGTGAAGAAGTCTCGCTCACCTCGCTCCCTCGATCCGCTCGATCCGGGGCACGGGAAGAGGGTGGAATCGTCGAAGGCCCAGCCACGGCCATCGGCCAAGCGGAGATAGATCCGCCCATCGGCGCCCATGAGCTCCTGACGTCGAAGGACCGAAGCGCCCGACACGGCCGACATGTTTTGGCTTGGCCGTGGAGGGCCCCAAAAAGGAGGCTCCGCTTTCGATGTGGATGCATGCTTTGGATCCGTTCGAATGGGCTTTTTGCAGCCGTCTCCGCAGGTCTCCGCAGGTCTCCGCAGCACCCCGCAGATCCGTCGAAGGAGAAATTCTTCTGGACAGTCCTGTCCGAGCTATCACCTGCTCCGTGTCAGTCCTGCTTCTGGGTCGGAATCTATGCCCTTTTGAGGTCAAAGACGATTTTAAACATGTCCAAAAGGCTATTTAATGAGTGGTGCGTTGCTTCGACTTCGTTGTGGTGGTTAAAAATCCTAGGCTTATGAGTTTCTGGAGCTGGGAGGTGAATCCTCGAACCTGCGGTCGATCCGTCTTCACGCCGCTGCGTGCAGCCAAACCGGCACCGGCACCACTCAGCCATGCAGCTCGCGGCTCCTCCGCCGCGGCGAAGGTGGCGTTCTGGCAAAGGGTCTCACCCGTTCTGGGCGCCTGCCACGCAGGGCGTCGCGGAGGTCGCGTCGTCGCCGCTGGGACGGGACGGATCGTGACGCGGGTTCGGACGCGTCGTCACGCGGGTTAGACGGCTGCGTCGCGGCAAAAGACTGAGGAGTCACAAGAGCGCGTTGAGTGAGGAGAAAGTGAGGGAATGTGAAAATTCATGAAAATTCCCTTGGTAATCCAAGCTGCTGCCCAAAGTGTGAGTCCGTTCAACATGCCTTGATGCAAGAAAAGAGACATGTGCGAAGCAAACTCATCAAGCAAAATCAAGCGAAATGAACTGGCTCCTGCAACACCTGCACCCTCTTCTTAAAGTCTCAGCCTCATCCATTTGAGATCAACCAGACCACCGGGAAGCTCTATGCGCACACAATCCACTGCACAGACGCAGCCGCTCTTTTTCTCGGGTCGTCTGCAGGGAGCTGTACAACTATACAATGCGAAAGGGACACACAGGTCAGGGCTTGTAACGATGTTCATGATTTGAGGAAAACTGGAAGCATCAAACAATCGAGAAAGATGAACCATGAAGAACGTTCACAACCCCTGAAATCACCAGTGTCGAAAATGACGGCAAAGGTATCAGATAGAATGCCATTGGCAGACTTTGGCCCGATGGTCAACCTCACGAAGGCTCTTTGACATTGCTTCTTTGAGTATGTTTTTCAAGGATACAAGGCTCTTCCATGGCACTTCAGCTGTTGCAAACGAGCAGCCACCAGCAAGCCTCCCTCCTTCACCAAGGTCCTCGAGCATCTTCTCTGCAAGCTCCACACCAGCACCTAGGGATTTGGCTGCAATGGTCACCCCCCAAAACGTGCTCAGGCCTCCAACTCCTTTTGCTGCAACACGGAAAATGATGCAAAGATATGCAAAGTGAGTCTGTTGCGCAGGACACTCAGGACTGCGAACCGCTTCAGTCAAACTTGATTCTAACCTCCCTCGGCCGGCCTCACGAGAATTTGGAGAAAGAGATGCCCTTGCCCTTGCCATGATCTAGAGCTTTCCGGTAGAGTGAAAACAGTGTCCCATACATCTCTTGCGGGTGTTCAATGGTGGTCACATGTCTCTTTTGGCGTCACTTTTGTGTCACATGACCCTATCTATGCCACCAAAACCGCCAAAACAAATCTTCTTTTTTCTGTGCCGCCCAGTGGCTATACGCATCATTCACGGAGAAACCACGTGCCCAATCACCTCACAGGTATCAGCTAGCTAGGCGTTTCTAACAAATCAATGCATGTATATAGTGGCACTGGAATTGACTGAAACTGCAGACAACATACGAAGCGAGACAACCGCTACCAACAACGCTGTGTGAACACATGTGAACATCTATCTCTGGCAACTGGGCGAGGCAGCTCGGCCTGTTGCTCCCATGCCATCTTTGTCCCACAACGGTGACCCGACACCCTCATAGTGTCCTGGCCAGGCCGAAACAATGCTGCATCACTAAAAATCAGGGTGCCTTTAGCTGGTGGTCCCGAAAACACCTGGTTTCCTGGTCGCAGACAATTAAGACCGCCATTCATTCGAACTAACTATTGAACTATTGAACTATGCCGTAACTTCGCGAGCTTGGTTCGTTCACCTGGGCGGCCAAAACCTCGTCGAATCTCCCTTATACCGGTCACTTAAAGCATCCATCCATTGGGAAATGCCATGCCTCGCCATTTCTTCACCCGAAACCCCGACCACCGTCCCGGCCGACGCGTCTCGTCGCCGCCGTCCTAAGGATCGCATGGGAAAGTCGCCCTCGGGGACTTCACCCGTCAGCACCGCCTGCGCCGGGGAAGGCGAAGAGTCGGTGCCGGTGTTTTTGGGCGGTTGAAAAAGGGCACCTGCGTGGAACTTGGAATGGAACGAAGACTTCTTTCAAATGTATCCTGGATGGAGGCGATTCTCCGGCAATTTGGCGACTGGACTGAGGAAAAGCATCCAAGCATGAGAGGGCCCCTAATATGTTCTAACGAAGCCAAGGGTGGGTATCCCAAAAACACCCAAACATGTTCGAACATGGGTATCCCAAACGTGGGTATCGCTCCAACTCATGCAAAAGCACCCCAACGCCGCAACCGGGTCTTGCCGCATCATCAGTAGTCCATCTGCTACACTCCGACCCAGCATCGAAGTGGATGGCATGGATCATACATGGTGCCGTTGGATGACGATTCTCCTCTGAAAACGGGTGGTGTTGGTGTTTCATGAATTTCCACTTCCATAGGATGTGTTCGTCAGAGGGTACAACTTTCGAGGCCAGCCTCGGTATTGTTGCCCCAGCGCCCACTGAGAAGGAAGCAGGGCTCGGGCGGCCAGGATCCCAAAGTGTCAGATAAGAAGGACATGAAGTCGTAGAGCAAAACGCGCTCCACTTCCTGGCGAAGCCGAGCTTGATCACCCGATACCGGCGAGATCGGGCGGCGAGATCGGGTGGTGATGACAATGAGCATTCTCAACACGTCTTAGGGTAGCGGGTTTCCTCGAGCGATTTCGCTGAGGTCGAAGTGTGTGTCCATGCTGTCGAAAAGAGGGAGAATAGGAATAGAAATGAATAGAATCTTTAAGCCGGTTCAGCATGGTTCCACTCCCTAGGGCCCAAAGACAAAAAGAGAAGGGATATGAAGGGATCAAAGAAACCGCCAAGCTCATTCCTATAGCTCACCAAGCATCTTTCTTTGACCATTGCTTCCAGTTGGCCCACTCTTTGGTGGAGAATATCATGAAGCACTGAGGAACTCGTTGTCGATCGGGCTTTGAGCCTGGCCAATTTCAGCGATGCGATTTCTTTCGACTTGAAACACTTGAGGAGTGTGAGATCTGTGATCAATAGCAATCCACATATGAGATCATATGAGCAACTGCCTGAACCCCTTGTATGCGACGCAAGAAGGACAATCGACTTCATTCGACTTCTACACTTTGGTGGTCAGTTCCCTTGAGATACAGTAGATTCTGCAGCGGGGTATCCATCGTCCCATGATCGTCCCCCAAGCACAGCGACTTGATGGCTTAAAAAGGTGGCGTGAAAAGGCTCCTCAGGGATCAGCAAAATCTGCCAGTCTTCTCTACAAGGAACTATCCACTGCCACCCACGCTAAGGATCCGTGGCCAGTAATCGCTGCTGCATCCCAAGGCATGGGCAACTCTCGGTCGAAGGCCACCATGAGATTCCAAACCTGTGAGGTCTTTGTTCTTCCAGAGAGCCTTTCTCGCAAGGCCGGGCTCACAGAGGATGGCACCATCTTGTAACCCGACTTGCAGCCATGCAGGACTTTATTCGCCTCGAAGGCCAGTACTACAGCATCAAAGTTCCGGTAGGACACCTCGCTGGCACCTTCTGCCAGTTCCGGTCGGTATCTCAGCTGACCGGCATTGGCTTCAGCTCTGCTCCACATCACACTCCTGCAGGCTCAACGAAACCCGCCTGCATCCGATTCCGGCAGGGCTAAAAACGACCAACCAACGGGCGAACCACTCGGTATGTCTGGGGTATGGGGCCATGGGTCTGGAGTGAAAGGATTCCTTGCTTTATGTCTTGATGTTTCCTACCAATCCGGTTCCATGTGGGCCAACAGATTCCCCAAAGAAAAAACATCCCCCAAAAACATCCCAACATCCCATGGTTTTCCTCAGAATCTCTCTCTTTCCTTCTCTAACTTTCAGCCTGAGGCACCACTGGCCGGTCATCTTCCGTCGACCTTGAACCTGCGCCGTGCGATCCACGTGCACCTCCAGACTTCGACACCTCTCGGCCAGGTGTCGACCGATCGCCGACATCGAGGGAGTGCCCACCACGAGGTCGGTGGTGGGAAGGTCCTCGCTTCCCTCGGCGCAAGGGGCTGGGGATGGAAGGGGTGGGAATCGATTTGGAACCAGCTGGTTGCAGCAGTCATCTTCAGCCACTATGAAATTCGTGATTCGTGCATGTGATCCGATCGTGACATCTATGATCATGTGTGCCGGATGCATGAGTAGGGCCGCTCGAACCTCGCCATGGTCCGCCGTCCTGTGTCTTCACAGGCAAAAAGCAAGCCCCTGTTGAGATGGTGGGATCGTTGGCGAGTTTGTTGGTGAGTCGAGTTGGACTTCAAGGAATCCTCCCAAGCTCCCAGAAGCCTAAGTTGTTTGGGTGCTTTTTGTTGGATCCCTTCGGGGCTTTTCTGTTGGATATTGCTTGATCCACTGGATCCACCTATATAATTTATAACATTATAACTAATAATATATTCCTGGATCTTCCGACTGTTACCAAGTTCTGCCTTTTCATCCAAAAAATCAGCCAAAAGGCAGAAATTTGGCATAGTTGGAAGATCCAGGTTTATATAACTATATATATAGTGACTTTCTTTTTAGACCTTGAAGATCCTCAAAGCTTCTTCGCAAGAGAAATCCCTGCCATCCAAGGTGCTTGAATCGACCATCGTCTCCAGTCGCCCGTGCAGCGAATCCGCTTGAAGCGTCCCACGCGTGGCCAGGGCTTCACAACGCCTTCGAGCTCTTCGGCGAATCGACCTCGAGGCTTCAACACCTGAACACCCATGTCGAAGTGCAGCGTCGGGTCCTCCTCGCGCATGGCGGCGCTTGGCACGACGCGACGCGGGCGCGACGCGGGCGGCGCGGCAAAGAACACGCGCCGCAAGGCACACGAGCAGGGCGTGGGTGCCGCGCCTAAAGAGAATGGATGCGTGGACAGGACCAAGGTGGAGAGGATATTTAGAGCAAACATGCCACGTTTTTGTGCAACGGTGGCCTCACTCTGGCCGCCCTGGCCTTCGCTAGGATTGTTCTCAACAATTTCTGAGGTCATCTGCTGCTTCTAGAGTTCCTTGTTTTCTCATTCAGAGCATGCTTCACTGTTTTTGCCACATATTGCTGGATATCAACTGGGGAGCTACAAACTGTCAAACTGCCTGTTCTTTCCGGATAGCTATATTCAATACTTTGCCCGTCCGCTCGACATGGCGTCGCTCTCGTGTCTCGCCCCTCCTTTCCGTTGACGAACTTGGTACAAAGCTTGCCACCCAAGCCTAGCCCGGGCTGACAAAAGGGCACAACAAGGGCACTAAGGTCCCCAAGAAACCTACCAAAAAGGCTGCCCAGGATCTCTCATTCTCCTACATGAAGCACGGGACACAACCCATGGCGGGCAGCAAGAACTATCTTTCGAGATAAGCAAAGTGCTCTAGACGTGTTTGAGACTTTGGGATTCTTGAGGAACACCCTGACAACACCCCCCCCACACACACACACACACACACACACACACACACACACACACACACACATATGTGGGGACCTCACGTCACTCGCCCGTCGGATCGTCGCCTCGACTCTCTTGGATGAGAACTACTTGCAATCCCGCATCGCACAAGGTGCGGCAGCAGGCCAAACCACTTGGCCCACCACCAATCACACAAACACTCGACCGCGACGGTCCCGGCGTAGTGGAAAGGGTCAACCTGGAGGGCCCAGATTCGTCTGGTGCTGTGTTAGGAATGATGAAAGAAACATGTCTGTCACGTCGGTTAAACACCACCAATAAAATAGAGTTTAACCAAAACAAATACATTAACAGCTTGTAAATGTGCCTTGAATAAGAACAATCTAAAGAGAACAAATTATATACATATACTGTCATATACTGCATATAAATTGATACATTAGGGTCAATTGATAACAAATAAAAAATAGAATAGTAATAACAAAAACCTCTTGTCGACCGAGCAACTGGCCGGCCCTCTCGGGAGTCTCCTCCTTTGATTCCGCAGGTCCTGCAGCGGGCGATTGCCGAGCGAATGAGCGGGAGGATGGGAGAGGACTCATTGCGGCGTGGAATGGGGGCTTTCCCCATTGCTTGTTCTGCAGCATGTTCTGTCAGTTCATTCCCCTTTCCCGAATCTTCTTCAAAGGATTGTCATGGTTGATTCTTTTTGACTGGTCGGCAAACGGGCTTGCTTAGCCACCCAATTTGGGTGCTCAAAGTCCTTCAAGCCAAAACTGATGAAACCAGAACATGAGACACGATGCACCAAACATTCCTGCTTCACTTTGCTATCTGTTTGATTGTGCTTCATGGATTGCCATCACACGCAATTGCTTGGGGTAACCCGATCCATGCCAGACTGAAACATGACTAAGTCTTGAAAAAAAAAAACACACCCAACGATCTCAAAACAAGCGGAGCATCCTCCGGCGCTGCTGGCATAGCCATTTCCTCGTTGCCAGCGTCGCTTCGGATGGGGCGCTCCATCCATGGCGGACGTCGATGTCACGCGACGAGCAGCTCGTCTGAGCAGCTCGGCTGAGACGAGACGAGTCCAGTTGCTCCCAACAGAAGGTGCAGTTTCAATTGGCAGGGTCTTAACATAGAACCTGGAAGAAGGGAAATAGACAAAAACCCATTGGTTGGATTCTGCAGGGTTTGGGCGAAGTTGATGAAGGCTGGTTTTCCGTTGGGAGTTACAGTTGGTGAACGCTTTTGCAATTAGTGGAATCAGTGAGTTCCATGGATCACAGACTCCAATCCAGTGTCCCGAACGTCGAAGTCTATGTTAGCTTTACTGGCTAGCTGCTGGTACTTCTCCAAAAAGCCCCTTTCACTGTGCGAATCTCCATGATGAGATTGTTTGTAGCCGACTTGCTGCTGGGAAGTCCGTCTTTTGCAGGACCCGCTAAATCTGTCAGCCGGGCGGTGGCGGGTTCCGTGGTGCTTTTCTCGACGAGACCTGAAGGTCTCAGCTATAAGAGAACCTTCTCTTCCTTGGCTGAGTTGAAGAGCCTGTGAGCTTGTGTTATTGGCCTTGTGGAGTCATCCGAAGGATGGCAATGCTGACATTGGCTTGGCACCAGCGCTGCTCTGGGGGATACCTGAGTTTGTAATTCTTTTGTTGTCCTGACCCTCTCATTTGTCATCAGGCATCCGGGGAGGTGCAGTGGGACTAAGACGGGCCCAAACAAGAAGCAAAGCAATGAAGGTGCCGGGGTCGCCACGACAGAAAGAGACGGGCCGCAGCCCCAAAAAATGCTTTGCTTGAACGGCACCGTGAAAATGTTCACCGTGCGCGCGTGGCGGGCGAGATCGGCTCGCCTCGACGCTGGGCCCATGGCGCAAATCCACACCTCCCATGAACGAGACTCGATACCAGGCATAGCGCCCAGCCTGGCGAGATCGAGATCGAGGGCTCGCGGGGTCGTCGTCACGGTGACGATCGGTGAGTCGTCACACTGACGTGACTGCACTGGCGCCGACGAAGACCGAGCTCCGCTTTGGGGGGACCGGGAAAGGATCCGAAAGGACGTTCCGAAAACGACAGCGGAAATGGCCAACAGGACGGGATCAAACAAGAATCTCCGATTGAAGAGTCGAGACTAGAGTCGAGCAAATGGGGACAAGGAGACTTTGATCGAACAAACATGTATAAGACTTCTTTAGTTTTGTTCGAGTTGTTCGAGTTGCTTTTTATCCTAAAGAAGCCTGAACTGGCCAATGTTTACAGCTCTGACGATGCCATGTGGCGCTGAAATCCTTCTTTTTCAGGATTCCGGTGAGCACACGTTGGTTTGCAGAGGAACTAAATAAAATACAGTAACTAAAGAATGCCACAGACCTGCAGTTTGGGAATATGATGGAGGCCATTCCTTCTAGGTTGGAGGCCATTCTTTGTAGGTTGGTGGAGGCCATCGCTAGTGGAGGCCATCGCTATTTTGATGAATAGGTATGAATATGTCATGTTTGCCACGCCCAGCGTTCAACGAGCCCCATTCCCGAAATTCCTCCCCGGAGAAAGCCGTGGAAGGAGCCACCATGGTCAACGGCCTTGGACAACACAGTTTTGCGCAGCTACATGGATGAAGTGTGCCTCACACGAAGCAAGAATGCTCCCACCAGTCTCGTTTTGTTTTCTTTTGTTGCTTTCTGAAGTCAAAGAAACATCAAGTCTTGGTTAGACCTGGATCAAGTTACACATCTGCATCACATTGAGATCCGTAGTTCGCGACCAAGAACAAACCAAGGTCTGCACTGATTCGCTCCACTTCCGGGTGGAGATGGTCTGGAGCGGATCGGAAAACGTTCACCAGAAATCAGCCGAAACCTATGACAGACCATACGACAGACATCATATGACAGACCGAACATCAGCCCAGGACTGCGGCCTCTCATCGCTTCAGTTGCTTCATAGAATCATCCTCTGTGCCCCAACGCTCTCCGAACCGTCTCAGCCCCGGCCGCAGTGCCAAGCCGTCTCGTCTCGGCCCGGTCGAGTCCCGTCTTCGACCGTGCCGCCAAGGTGCCCTCCGGGTCCCATCTGAGGCAGCCTGAGGTGTTCCGTCCGGACCCGGTCGGCCGATCGTGACGTCGGTCGGTCGGGTTGAAAACAGGGGGGGGCGGTCCTGTCGGTCACCAGCAACCTGAGGTCGCTCTCACCAGCCAGGGTCCAGCTGGACGAGTTTGGACGAGTTCTTTTTTGAAGAAACGGCAGCTACTCCGGGCGGAGGGTGGCAGCTGACTCAGGTCGAAGGTCGAAGCAGCTGACTCAGAATGCGGCGTGGGTCGAAAACAGCGGATTCTGCGGTCTTCTTAGTCTTCTTAGTCTTCTTCAGAGCCCCTCGCTGCGAAATCCGGTTTTTCCAACCGTGATTACCGTCCAAACTGCTCGACTCCGGTTTTCAGAGAGCAACGACCGGTGTTGGGTTGGGGGTTGACGGGTGCTGCGCCATAAGTACGGTCCCGTTTGTGTGTGGAGGAAACTCATCACAGCTGATTGGAACATGTTGGGGTGTGTATGTCGAAAACAAAAAATAGGCGGAAGCCCCTGGCCCTGGCTGGCCATGACTGGTCATGACTGGCCGTCACAAAACATAGAATCTTGGGATTTCTAGTGAACTTCTCTCAGCAGTCCATCCAACCCGACCCGCAGAGACCCTCCCAGCCGGTACTGAGGCCCGAAGCATCCGAAACGCGATCTGCGCGGGATCTGCGCGCGATCTGTGCCGGGCGGTGATAGCCGATACAGCTGCACGAGATACGCGCATGTGCGCGCGCGTATATCTGAGCTCTCCAGGCACAAATCCTTATTGGGCTTGATGTTGAGTCGCAAGACGATGTGCAGTACCAAATAACGTAGTGTTGAAACACCATCAGCACGTCGGTCAAAGCACGTCGGTCAGGCAAGTTGTTGGGGAGGTCTGGAAACGCACTGCAGTCATGAAGATAAGATTGACCAATGCCAATTATTGAAAAAACCGTCTATATAGAATGAATAGAACATGATAGAAAATGAACGTTTATGTGAATTGAGAGTTGCAAGCAGCATCGCAAGAAACAGCGGTGCGAACAGTGCGAACAGAGCTTCTTGGCCCTTTTTGCTCTCCACATCGTCTCCCGCAAGAACCAGGTACAGGACTAGCCGCTTGCTCGTCTTCTCCTCGCAGAAAAGGCTGGCGGTCAATTCCAAATCTGCCACAGGTGCACCGATCCCGGTTGCTCCAGCTGGCCTTCACTTTCCGCGGTAAGTTGGTTCGGAAAGAAAAAGGGGCAACGCCGCACCCCCATGTTCACCAACGCGTTGGTCCATCGATAGCGGGTGTCTGGAACGCATGGCATGGTTGCTTTAGCAATCTTTCGCTGTTCCGCTCAGAGCGTCAAACGCTCCACAAAACCCTTCCCGCTCCAGGCCAGGCTTGAGCTCCACCTGCAGCGGAAATGGGCCGAAATGGGCCCCACAAACTTTGCCACAAACTGGCCCCAACAAAGCTAACTCATCCGGAGTACGCTGAGTTTTTTCAGCGCCTTCTTTGAGCGCCGAGTACGGCACACTGTGTGTGTGCGCCCAACTGTGTTTCCCAGAGAATTCAATAGTCTCAGCAGGGGGCCAGGTCTCCCTGGCGCGCGTCCTGGCCAATGAAGACCGCGCACCAGGGAGGTGTATACGTACCTGATGTTGTTCCGGAATCTTAATTCATTCTAAAGGGCTAATGTGTATGTTCAAACGATTCGGTTCTCTGACCCAGCATTCTTACAGTTATTTCATGTCAAGTGCTAAGTATTCATCGGTGAGTCACTTACTGAAATTTATGCTCATTCGTTTGAGCTATATATCTAAGTGTGTGCTGTCATTTCAACCTCCCGGCATTTCCTGATCAACCAGGGTCACCCACACATGGGTATGCTTCAACATTTATCAAAACCCCATTTTGAAGCTTTTGTTTCCAAGACGGCCTAGTGCTGAGCTATGGCAGCATCCAACCTCCCAACCAACCCCGAAAACGCCGGCGCTCCGTTGGCGCTCGCCGTCCCACCTTCTTCTCCCAGAACTTGGGTACAACCAGCAGAGGTGGAACTCCAGCCTGGTCCACTTCGGCCGTTGCAGGATGAGATGGCCAGATTCTTGGTGAAAATGAGAAGGCGATTTTGTTGTCCAGGTTTGCCAATGTCAGAAGAATCAGCAAGGAGAGAGGCTGAGATTGCTGCCAAATGCTCCTTGCAAGAAGGTCAAATAAAGAGGTATGGCTCCAGTCTTTAACACATTGCTGGCCTCAAGTCTGACCGACATCTGTTTTCCATTTGGGTGTGGGCTGGTGTGGATCCTAAAAGGCACCAACTGTAATGACCAAAGCATCGACGACCTGGGCATGTGACCTTGAGTTCTTGGCTGTTCATGTTGGCACCCTGACCTTTCATCTGACCTTGCTGATGAAACCTTGGCGTGATGTATCGGTGTCCTTCTTCAGGTCGGCGCAAACAAATGCCAGCGATTTCACGCCAAGACTGATGGAAGGCCTCAGTCGATGGTGCGTCCACACACAGTTGTCCCCATCGATGGGATTCAGTGTTCGACGTTCAAACCATGTGAATAGCGTCCCTTCCCGCTCCGATCGAGTCTCCGAGCCCACCCATCGTCACCAGGAACGGAGGGGATTTCCTGACTGGCCGAAGAGAAACGACGAAGAAAACGGTCAGCGTGATATCCAGTGATCTCCAGTCCTGTTGGAAGTCTTTGGATCATATGTTCTCCGCATGTTGCGCATATCATCCCTTATGCACATCTTATTGCACATCTTATAGCACATCCTCTGTGAGAAGCTTAGAAAAGAAAAGGAAGAAAGGGGAAAAAAACAGGTCTCACAAGTCCTAAAAGGTCTTTTCAGAAGAGAAAAAGGAACCGAAGTCGAAGCTCCCCAAGTCATGGATGTCCGGTCGACTGAAAAGCGGCGCACAGCTCGTCATCACGTTGCGAACCTGCGGTCGCCGACTTCGACCGACGGACGACTCTCGAGTGGCTGTGCCTTCCGGAAGAGGAGCTAGCAACCCCCTCGGCGCCAGCCGCCGGGAGTTAGCGAGGAGGACGAAGCTTCGGGCTTCGGACGTGCTTGTTTCCGGATCGTCCATCAAGAACAAGAAGAACGGCCCAAATGTTGGGCACATCAAGATTCCACCAAAACCATCCAAAACCCTAAACCTACTCAGTTCATAGAGTTGGAAGTGTCACGGAAGCCCCACAGCTCCTCCAAACGACTGAACCTTCAATTCTATCGACAAAATGAATCAAAATGTAATGCTTCATAGAGAAAGCCAAATGTGATTCCGCTTGCATCTTGTACAAACATCTTCCTGTGTTGGAACAGAAAAAATAGCATGGAAACTCCAGCCTTGAAGATGCCTGAAGCATGGAAATTCCAGCTGAAACCAAGTGAATTCATGTGTTGGACAAGCTGAAACCAAGATCATGGAAATTCCAGCCCTCACTTGGTGTCAGCTTTTTCAGCTTGCATCTCACCTTTTTTCCCTTCCCTTGGCTCCCGCTCAGACCGACCCACCCGCTAGCCTCAGCTCCACTCTTGGCTGCCGCTCTGGTGGCCTCCGGACGGTGAACCAGTGGTGGTTCGAGTTCAAAAAAACTAAGGAGATTACTATTTCAAGGATTTGTGTCAAGGGATTTACTTCCAGGAATTAACAAATCCGTTAGAACAATCGGTTGATTGGAGTTGTTTATTTCAAGGAATTAATTAAGTTTTACTTCCAGGAATTAACTGATTGAGTCTCATCGTTTCATTGTATTTGTTCCTGGATCTCTTGCTTCTCTGGCTTTTCTTTGGGTGGCTGTTGTTGACTCCTGTTTCTTGAAGCATTTGGCCCCCATTCTCTGCACTGTCTTTCTTTCACTTGCTTTTCAGATCCTTTTTTGACTGGAAAGGAAGTGCTTGGCAATCCCATTTTCTTTTTGGAATGCACGTCCCACGTCCCACCATCCACATATCATCTACCCATCCACGTCCCCACCTCCCGCCCATGTTCCCGCCTGTCGCAGCTCTGGGGCTGCGAAGCGCATCCATTCACCCAGAACTGTCCTCACCATCCGTTCCAGGAACCCAGGCGAAAGCCAAAGCGAAAGCAAGGCGAAAACATCACATGCTGCAGGAACCACTTCCGTGTATCTGTCCGTTCTCTTGCGAGCCGGCGTCGCGTCGCACCGCCACGCCACGCTCAAGGGAAACCGGCTCTCTCCTGGAGAGCTTCGTAGGGGAGACCTGCCGATCTGCCTGGACGCACATCGGGTGGTGGGTGCTCTTCGTCACGAGAAAAACACCAGCTCCTCCGTCACATGGTGGCAACTGGTACTTTTCGTCACGAGGACAAGGACAACTGCTACAGTACGGCTGCTATTCCAAAACACATGTTTTTTGGGGGTGCCAATCGAAACTTTCGCGGGTCTCACGTGTCCCCGCGAGAAGTTCAAACATGCCGCTGCACCACTCGCGTTGGTTGCAACTAGAAGTGATGTAAAGAAATGATCGTGGACACAGTAGCATCACTGGCATCATGTCTACCTGTCCTGTCAGTCTCAAAACACCAGACCAACAAACAATACACAAAACTATTTGTACAACTATACCAAAAATACAACATCAAACAGAACTTCTTTAGATCACCTGAAAGGTGCTCATAAAAACCGTGCTTTTTTGCATCATTTTTTCCATAAAACAGACGACCTCCCGCCCACCACTACCGTCCCCACCGTCCCCACACCGGACCGCCTCCAAGGACCGTGGGTCGGCCACGAAAATCCCGCCCCGGGAGAAGTCGGAGCGCTCCTGGCGACGCGTCGCGAGGACAGAAGCGGCGAATGTGTCGGTTGGGTCTCTTTGGGGGGAGACCAAGAGTAGAGAAAGGGAGGGGGGGAAACAAAAAGGAACACACCAACATCCAAACACTTAAGAGAGTCATCAAGATCCACAAGTGCATGGTGTTTTTTCTCAAAGATCAGCAAGAGATGCTTGGTCAACAACTGCTCATTCGGCTCGTGGCTCAGGGAACATCTTTAAGAGGTGTCCTCCTGCGCAAGGGGTTGTCGTGCTTGAAGGATCAAGCGGCAAATTTTCCTGACAACCCGCAACTCAAGCCAGTCTTCTGGAAAAAAACAAGGCAAAAATGATTGCAAAAACCGGAATTGCTCTTTGGAGCAGGTCGCTCCGGATTCTTCAAGCGTCCAAGTTGTGCTCACCAGCAAGCAAATAAAAGTATAGACTCTAGACGAGGCTTCATTGTCCAAATGATTCAAAAGGCTTGTCATCCTGACACTGAGCAAAACATGTCCTGTCTTCCACGCCACCAGCCGCCTCAGCCACGCAAAGTGATCAACCTCCAAGAAAAGCTACTAGGCTATTTTCCATCGTGCAAGAGACCCACCTGTTGCTTTGGGCTTTCAGGCTTGTAGACCGAAGTACCGACAAGCTTGGCCTTCGTCTTTCGACCAAATCTGGTTCTCTTTCGACAAAATCATCAGCGCTGACAGCCCTCCGAACCCAAAAGCAACTTTGACCAACAAGGCAACCATGCATCTTTTAACCGTGATTTGATGTGCTCACTTCGGCTAAGACACGGAACCACATTGAATGCTACAGCAGCGTCGTACCGTGTCACGTACCGTGTCACGAGTCCAAGTAGCACCACTGAACGGATCCCAAACCGACCGACTGAACCTGCTCCGAAAGAACGGCCTCCGGCGCCAGCGCCATCTGTGGTTCAAAGGCCAATCTGAGGGGTGAGGCCTCACCGTGCAACGGAGCGCGACACGGCGCATCCGCAAGCGCGGACGTCGAAAACGGACGAAACGAACTGAGTTGCTGTGCTTTCCTTAAGAGTTGGAGGGCTCCGACGTATGCTATCGTATACTAGGTTTTGGAGGCCATCGCTGTTTCTTTTCTTTTTCTTGCCTTTTGTCTTTTTCTTCTTGGGTTCCCCGAAGTGCCATTCTGGGGTCATCTGTTTGCCTCCAGCCACTGGCGGAGGCCAGAGCTTCTCTTGGAGACACCAAAGATTGACCACATGTCAAACACATGTGACCAGGATTTCAATACTCGTTGACTCGCTGACGGATGCCTGCTTGGCTGCCATGGCATTCGCCAGTGCCACAGCTTTGGCGGCATTGGCCAAGGCTCCGGTGCCCGCCGCATCGAGGACTCAGCACCCGCATTCCGCGGCCGTGGCGGACCCGGGGGAAGTCGAGTCGGTCGGTTCTTGGCACGCACCCGGGTGATACCTTCGTCGGTGGGTCTCTGTTGCGCGGGTGATCGAACAGCGGCATGGCCTGCCGGGTTCGACTCGGACTCCCAGTCACGGAAGTCCCGGAAAGACCAAACGAGTCAACGCAGCAGAGGCTGCAGTTCCGTGGGGTTTTTTGCCCCGCTTCGGACCGACGTGCATCCCGAACCCCTCTCCCCTGAGCTGCAGGACTGGCCGACTGCTCATGTAGCACACGTGCTAGGATGCCACCTGTGAGAGGTGGATGTTTAAAAAAGAGACTTGCTAAGCCCAAATCGTGCTCCTCCTTCGATGTTCTCCAGAGACCAAGCTAAGCAGCTAATCTCAGGTTCGACACTCAGAAGCGAGGATGTTTTCTTTTTATGTTGTTTTCAGCAATTCTGGACACTAGGGATCTCTCTTCTTGAAACAGCACATGGAGAATGCATGGATCTGTTCTGGAGCAAACTAAAGGCCACGACGCACAACCAAAGGCCACATGGCACTGGACTTCTTGATCACCGGAAGCCCGATATTCGGCACCCAACAGTGTCATGGTCGACATAGTCAACACGTGAACTCAAAACAAAACTGGGATCAGAGTTTCATGCAAAGCAATATTGCCATTCTTTGCACCATCATGATATCCATGATACCCACTTGCAACTAGGTTGACTGTACCATGAAGGCGAAGACAGAGGGAACCCGAGCCGAACGGAAATGAGTTCAGCCCACCTGCCAAACGCCCAAGGTTTACGCCATCTGCCTGGACAAGCACTCGGCCAGCCAGGGCAGGGGCAACACTAACATATCTTCAATGCAAATTGACAGACTCCCAGAATGGCAAACCATTGACTCAGTTCAAAACGTCTCATCCCCCAAATCCCGATCATCTCATCACCCATTGACTCATCAATCCTTTCATTGCCTTGCTTTCCCCTCTCGCGCATTTGGATCATCTCTCTTTTTTCCTCCACGTCTCATAGCAGTCTCACACCGTCCGTCTCGCCGTCCGTCTCGCACGTTCTCCACGTTCTTCCGGCCCCTTCCGGCCCTGGCGCGTCGTCGCTTCGGTGCGTCAGTGGGTCGCTTCTCTGGGACGTGGCAGGGAGGCGGGGAGGAGGCTCCATTTGGATCCAAGGAACTGCTTCTGGAGCGAAACATGGATGCCCGTATCGGATCCAGTACTGGCCGTCTCTACGTCTCGCGTTACTGAGACGAAGCTCGGATCTTTGGGAACTTGCGTGAGGGGAAACCGGCGGTTTTTCCCTCCAATAAGATCCCTATAGACTCCCAATGAGGTCGGAAGAATCTGCGAGGCGAGGGAACCCGAGCAAGCCGGTCTGCATTTAGGTCGGTTGAGCTACGAAGGAAGTGAGTGGAGTCAGCAAGCAGGATGGCACAGAGGCAGTGCCAAACATGTCATGTGACAATCAGGAAAACCTGTGACATGAATGATGAATGTTGTACCAATTACAACCACACACATGAGCCATGAGCTTCTATGATCCCGAAATTCAGATTCACGCCACTGTGCAGAGGGTTTGGATAGGAAGGAAAAGAATGATGCACAGGCGCCGCTGAGCACCGCGCAGGCGCCGCGGCTCGTCCCTTTTTACATCGCTTCAGTCTCGTCCTCATCGGTCTCGTTGGTCTCCTCCGCGCTGAAGGAGATCCGAGCGGTGCAGAGGTGTAGCACTGCGGAACCCCAGAGCACCTGACGCTCAGCGAGAAAGGTGTAGCACGCAGATCAAACCATCCCTGGCAGCTTTCTTCATTTGCTTCGACCCGCCAGATCAAGATCAAGCATTCAAAAAATCGAACCGAAGCAAGCGATCCCTTCAACAAGTGGCAGCCAACGAAGGAAAAAAGACTTCAACAACAACACCCTTGTCATTGAGACGAAAGGACTCCTCTGCTGGAGCGCGGTCGCGGCTTGGAGCTTTGTGATAAACACTTGGGCTGTGTCAGTGGCAGCGCCTGTCACCGAAGCGCCAAACACAAGAAGTCATCCAAACTGCCCAGCATCAAAGGCTTTTTAAGCCACTGCATCAAACGCTGCATCAAAACCCAAAAGCTTCCGAGCAGTGGTCATTCAGAGTTAACTATTGATGTACACTCTTAATTGATAACCCCCCCCCATTTGAATTGGAAATCCTCTTCTTATGCGGGGTTTATTAAGATTACTTTATAGTTGATTTATCTTTAACGTTTGATGTCCGTTGGGCTCCCGTTTTTTTGACCGACTCATCGGCACCTTCTGCTTGGCCGGTGGAAGCTCCAGGAAGCGTCTGGCGCCCTGGCGCCGCAGCAGCCCAACCGCTCGCGCGTGCTGATGCGCCTCGGCGAGGTCCAGCGCGGTCATCCGGTCCGCCCATTCGTCGGGGTGGGCTCCGTCTGACAGGAGGAGCTGGCAGACCTCGATGGCGCGAGGATGGGACAGGGACGGGCGCGCACGATGGCATAAGGGAGGGATCGAAAGAACGGCGCGTGTCGCGAAACGGCCCTTGTTGTCGCGAAACAGGCGAGCCATGCTGGGCCTCTGGACTTTATAGACATACATCGTCTATAGGCTAATGATATTGAGTGGCTTTTGAACCTTTGGAGATCTTTGGAGTAAGCCTCAAAGGATCTCAAAAGTAAAGCCCAAGCCACCACCTTGTCTAGTTGGGCCTTTCCATTTATTGCCCACGGTCGCGCACCTCGATGTGTCCACCCTGCGAGGCCCGCATCAAGGGAGTCCAACGTCCGGGCGCCGTCTGCGTGGTCGCGGCGCGAGCATCGATCAAGGCTTTCACCACCCGCGTTTGTCCAAACTGAGCAGCCTCGGACGAAGCAGCAGCGGATGCGGATGCGGATGCGCTATAGCGGAGGCGCCAGCCGCTGGGCTGTCACGGCCTCTGTTCCCTCTGGGCCCACGGTGGGTATGAGCATGTAGTGTAGCATGTCAGAAAGCTGGGAGAGAGGATTGAGAGAGAGGTTCATCGAAAGCGGGGCTTCTGATGCGTATCTTCCTATCTGACAATTGACTGGCATCTGACTTTAATTCCTTTAGTGTATCTTGCATTCTCTTACTATCTGACTTGTTTCCTGATCCTTTGTGCCTCCGTTTTGGCCGAAACCGTTTTCCGTTGAACTCCAGTTTGGCTTCGTGCATCCTGCATATTGTTTCGATGCGACTCGATGTGTGTGAAACCTGGCCCATCCAACACAGCTGAGCAGCTCCATCCAATGCACTTTGCCCATTGATTCTTTGCTCAATGTCTGCTTTGCACCTGATTTCTTTTTGAGCCGCAACATCTTAAGAAAGTCATCGTTCCATTGCGAACCCCGAAGCCTTGACATCAACAACACATCCATCAATCTTGACTCTTGACTTTGTTGTCACATAAAGTTGCTCTTCGGTCCTTCCCAACCCCACGCTACCATGCAAAAATCATAGAACTAGTCACTTCGTCCAACTACCTACAACTAGCTATACTAGGATCTACTAGGGGCTCCTGGCATCGCTACGAACGGAGCAAGAAGCTAATTACTCGGCCTTACTACGAACGGAACAAGGACGCTACGAACGGAACAAAGGGCAACTGGATGGCCAAGAGGCTGCAATGCCAAGGTCACCAGATTGGCATGGCCCAGCTGTGCTGCCACCGTGAAGCACCGCCCCAGCAACCGCGCACGGCCCCCACGGCACGGCGCAGCGGCAGCGGCGGGGGCGGAAGCGCCGACCGGACCGGGCCGGGCCATGGCCAGAAAGGCCGGCGACAGGAAGGTGCTTTGGAACGGGCCGTTCAATGCCTGAGAGGAAGGATCCTTTTAGGAGAACAAAACATGGAGATCATCACATGGAGCATCACATTCTCAATGAGAACAGGTGGAAGACATGTGGAGAACATGTGGACTTTAGCAATTCCAGTCTACACAGCTGGCTGTAGAAGGAAGAGAGAGAAATGTCTCCTCACCCGCTGAGGCTTTCACAATGGCTCGCCGCAAGGTCTGCCAGAAGGGTGATGTAAGCGCAAAGGCGTCCTCGCATGGCGCAAGGGCGACCTTTTCACTGGCGCCTTGTGCTTTGTGCTTCACGCCCCGCGTCCAAACGTCCAAAGGATCGAAAGATGGTGTGTACAGTAGCACGGTCGGCACGACACGGATTATGCAAAGGAGGTGCTTTCACCTCTTTTTCGACGAAAGTGACGATGCGAAAGACCTGATCACTTGATCTGACCCGGCCAGACCTTGGTCCCAAACGCGCAAGCATTCAGTGTTTCAGGGCTACAGCATGTTACAGCTGTTTGCACTGCTTCGTTCGAATGCCAAAGATATCCTGCCTCTGAGAGAAGTGTTATGAGGCCCTCTTGGACATCTGCCTGCGATAAGAAGCGCTTGGCCACACGGCAGAGGCTCTGAGCCACCAACCTCATTCCAACGCCATCCAGCATCATCCAGCACGATGCACCTTCCACACCTGACGCCTCTTGGGTCTCTTTCATGTTGACCCACTCCAATTAGCATCCCAAAACCATCCACCCACTACCACTCACTACCACCCACTACTTCCATCTGTCACCTTTCGCGCTCGGATGCTGCGAACACCGCGCTGTCCGCTTTCCACCCTAAACACCGCCGAGGGGCCATTCCTTGGGCCACAAGTGCTCGAAGATCTGCAGGCGAACGTCATCGCCGAAGCTGGAGCTCCACATCCGGCGGTGCCGGGGCGACAACCGGGGCGACACCCGGGCGACACGGTTGAGGAAGGGTTTACGAACGAGAAAACTGCGCTGTGTGTGGTTTTTTCTGCTGGTTGGAATGTAGTAGCGGTTGGATGTGGTGAAATGATCTGGTCTTGTTTTCTAGTGGTCGCAAAGACATGAAGACTGTTTTGTGTGTGCTTTTGTAACTTGCACAGACTGCTGTGTTGATGTTGTTGGTGCTTCCTTTGCGATTCGGCTGTTGGCGCTGTCTATATCACGTACTGTATATCCAGGCCTTTGCTTAGGCTTCGATTACTGTGTGTCAGCATCTTCAAGCCAAGCGAAACATTGCGGGAAGCGAGATCTTGCCATGAGTTTCAAAAAGACCCACCGGTATCCAAAGGTGCCCTCTTGCGTATGGTATCAAAGTACCAACAAAAAGTGTATGAAACCATCCTCATGTCATCCACTAAAACAAAAACACTGTAAGTTGGGTCTAACAGTGGATGATGATGGTTAGTAATGGGACAGGAGGGACAGGCAATAGGACAGACCCAAACTACAAGCAAACATGTTGATGACATTTGATGACCATCTTTCTGAACCAAGCCGACCAGGTCGAACGGAACAAGACCTGGCCTTCGCCCGCTGCCCAGGCGACCATCGTCCTGGATCTCAGGGCGAACGTTGTTGTTGGGAGGCTCTGCAGGCGCAGTAAAGCACCTGGGCCCGGGAAAACGCCCGACATCCAAACAGCTGCAGGTTCTTAGAGCCGTTCAAGTTGGGCATGACACTTCTGTCCAATTCTGATGATCAGGACTTCTGCCTTCGACCTCTTTGAGACATCCCGAAAGATTCCCAGCACACCCCAGAAATGGGCATTCTGCCCGCGGTGGCAACTCATTTCAGCCCAAGACACGCAAACCGCGCCAGCTTCCACCGCGGCTCCTTGTCGTCGTGGTCGCGCGGTCTCGGCGCGTGGCGCTTGTCGGTGCGTGGATTCCTCCGGATGACGGTGACGCCTCTCATCCAGCGCTCAGCCTTGGTCGCTGAGACACCCGGGAGACACCCACGTTCGCCTTCGCCACGAGACGAGGACGTTCCACCGGGTGAGTCGAGGGAAGGGGGAAAAAAGGAGCGGTGGAGCAGGCTGAAACAGGCTGAAAATCCATGTCTTCGATCTTGTGCGAGGGCAGTTCTTCAGACGATTTCTTCGCCTTCGCTTTCAGAGTTTGCTGGGGTGCTCTTGGTTCAAATGAAATGAATCGAAATGAATCGAAATGAACCATCATCAAAGAGGTTTTGCCGCCATGTCACAAGGATGCCGCAGTCCAGCGGTAGAAATTCAAGGAACTCCGCAGCGAGTCCTACGGACCCAAAGCAAAGCAAACTCGGAATATGGTTTGACCCATGAAATTTTCATGAATCCTGTCTTTTTCAAACAAGGAGCCCAACAAAAGCTCCCAGCTCCACCACCACACCAGCTCCCAGCCCTCTGCCAGTTTTGAGATGTCGGAAGAAAAAAACTACAAAAACAACGCCGCCATGCCTGGCCATGCCTGGTCATGCCAGGCTCATTAAAACCAACCACGACGCCCATGCCTGGCCTCATTAAAGGCTCGCATGCCCGCTTTCATGGTCTCCGGCTCCATGGCGCGCAGCAGCTGCAGCAGCTCCACGAAGCTGCGGAACCGGCCCAGCGCTGGGAACCTTCTCGGTGGCCCGGTTCCGCGACGGATGGGGGCGGGTCGGTGGGCCCAGGACCATCCGGAGGGGACGGGGACAGGGGGAGGAATATGGAGGAATGGGGGTCAAGTTGGGAAGAGTAGAGTTGTTGCCACACCAAGCTTGACCCAACTTGATCCCTTTTTGATCCTTTTTGTGGTTCTCCTATGTTGGTTCCATTTCACGACAACGGAGGGGTGTATGCCCTCTTCATCAAGCAAGCATAGGCAAAAGGACATGGAGGCTTGGCGGAACGCTTCCCGACGCCGCACGAGAAGAAGTTGGGTTGGTGATCAGATGTGGAAAGCCACTAGCCCAAGAAGATCCAATTCAGCACCACGGTCAGCACCGCGGCCCTTGTCAAAGCCCTTCGCAAGACGTCTCCAGTACCAAAATGGTCTGCAGTTTTCGTGAGAAGGTGGGTCAGGAAGAGAAAACAAATAGCTATCAAGCAAAAGTTTCACAGAACCCTGCAAAAGACTAAAAGTTCAATGATGCCCATGAGGTTGAGGCCATTGCTTCTAAGTTGGAGGCCATCGCTATTTGGTTGGGGGCCATCGCTATTGGGTTGGGGGGCCATTGCTATTAGACAAGGATACATATAATGGATGAACGAAATCCTGCATCACAGCGTGTATACACGCGTGTTGAAGTGAGCTCCCGGCACCCCAAATTTTGCGGGGGATGATGCAGGTCACTCAGCTTTTTCCTGTGCAAGGATTGTCTTCTAAAGCCAAGGTTAAAGAGAGAAAAACGGAGCAGGTGCAGGATTTTGCCCTGTCTTCTACTAGGAATTAAGACTGAAGATGACTGAAGCACAAAACTGGAGACGTTCAAGAATTCTTAGCAGCATCCAGACCTTTCTACATGACCCTAAGAACACGAGCTCATCCTGAGTCCAAGTGGCTGCTCAAAGTCCGTCAGCGAATACCAGTACATCGCCTCGCTCCGACGTGTGGAAAACGATGGAAAACGGCTTGTTTTCGTTTTCGCATCCCATGGGGTCTCATCTTCAGTGGATCCAAAGCTGCTGATCCATATCGAACCATCGAACCATGTGCAAACCGGCGGTGCGGATTCGCATCGGTCAGAAGCACGACCGTCCTTCACATCGCCCGTGGACACGAACGATGACGGGCGCGGTGTGGGGATGGGGTCGGGGCGCGCTGCACGGCGCGCGGAACAGCGCCGCCTGTTCCAATCCCAAGTAGGGATGATCGTCGATCCACGGTTCGGGCAATGGAAACTCCGTCGACAGCGTGGTCGGTAGCGAAGCCCTGGCCGCCGGTGGGTCAAGGAGTGCACCGGTGCTAGATGTCTCGGAGGAACAACTCCAGTTCTCCCATGCCAAACAACCTAAAGCTCTGGAAATCCTGTTCATTGCGGCAAATCAGAGCCATGGCTTTATGCCTACTCTGCTGTTTCAAGAGACCTCCCCAGGATCTCTCGTGTTTGTTCACCGCTTTCATCCACCGTTCGCAGCGCGGAAAGCCTGACGTTCTTGGCCCTCACGTGCCACCAGTTCTGCGTGGATTTCTTCAGGGACCAAAGCATCGTGTTCACCTCGTGACCCCGACGCAGCGGGCGAGTCGTTGTGCGCCGTTTCTTCTCGGCTTAGGGCGTCGGACCAGTAACACACGGAAACGGAGCTGCTCCGGTGCAAGAGATACAAAGCGGGCCCCAAAAGCTGAGTCTGGGACCACCCAGTGCCTGTCTGGCACCAAGAGGGGCACTAACATGGTGTAGAGCTCATTGAAGAGCATCATCATCACGTCCCAGGGCCTGGTATACACGACGAATCCCTCGCGAACGCGAACGGTCCAACACGCCGCACGCTTCTTTCGGGAGTTGTAGATGAGTGCCTTCACTTTGAGATCAAAGACCGGGCCGCAAACACAGGTGCTTTCGTTCTCTAGGTGGCATCGGTCTCGCTTCCAAGTCCGACACCAGAAGACGCAGGCATAGAACTGCGACATTTCCTGGAGGGAAAAAGACAACACCGGCGCGACTGCCCGAATCTTCACACCACGCGACTGCCCGTTTTCACAACAGCGGCACCTTATAGGTGAGTTCGTAGATGGGGCGCACTTGCCTGGCGTTGTGGTCGGCGCACTTGCAAGGAGATGAAAGCTATTCGAGGCTGGACGCAAAAGGAAGAACAGCGCTTCGTTGGGCGAAGAACCGGGCCCCTGCCTCACTCGAATACTCAAGAAGACGGGCTCGAAGGGAAAGTCCGACTTCCTCTGCTCCTGTTCTTCAGCGGAGGGATGCATCAGGATCGGTTTTTTCGATGGGGAAAGGGACCAAAGGTTTGGGGGCCTGCAGCCGCCA